GTTTAAAAAAAAATATTTTCTAAAAAAATAAAAAGTTTGACAATCTTAATCCCTATAAAAAAAATTTTACTTAAAATATATTTAAAATATATTTAATTTTTTTTAAAATATACTTAATTTTTTTATTTGGGTATTGCTAAATATTACCAGTAGTAACGGTCACTAGTGGTGGATTTATGATGTAATATCGGTGTTTTATTAAATTTTAATTCAGACCAAAAGTGCATCTTAATGCTGGTATGATTAAGGTTGCCTGCCTAAACCTCTCCAAAATTCTATGATTAGTTTCTCCAAAATTTTACTATAGTTTTATTATAGTTTCAGCAAGGTTTTGGCAGTTTCAGCATTTATAATAAATTTCGTCAGGTTTCGCTTTTCTCCAGAGTTTTGCCAACTTTTTAATAAGACTTATATATAGTTTTGGCAAAGTTTCGCCATTTTGGCATTTCGCCAACTTGCCAAAACCTCCTAGTTTCTCCAGCAACCTTAGGTATAATGACAATCACCACTAGTGAGCTTTAGCAATTTTTTTTTTATTTTATACTTAAAATATACTGAAAATTGAATTTTTGCAAAATTTGAATTAAATTATATTTAATATATATTTGAAATATATTTAATTTAAAATTTGCCCATTTCAGTATATTTTAAGGATATTTAAAATAAGAATATTTTAAGTATATTTAAAATAAGAATATTTTAAGTATATTTAAAATAAGAATATTTTAAGTATATTTAAAATAAGAATATTTTAAGTATATTATTATATATTTAAATTATACTTAAATAATATTTAATTTTTGTCCATTTCAGTATATTTTAAGTATAAATAAAATTTTAAATCTATTTTAAGTATATTTTGGCAAAAATATTTTTCATAGGGAACAAATAAAAGAAAATAAATATCCATTTATTAAAATTGTCCAAGAAGTCTAAAAAGCTAACATTATTTTTGTTTAACAAGTTTAATAGGCAAAAAAAATTTACCAAAAATAAGAAAATAAACATTTATTTATTAAATCATCTCAAGAAATTCAAGAAGAAATATTTTCTAAAAAATGAAAAATAGAATATTTAACAATTTTAACAAAACAAAAAAAACCTACTAAAACAAAAAAATGAACACCACCTATTAAAATTATTTCAAAAAGTCCAAAAAGTAATTCCTAAAATAATGGACTTTAATTTTACAAAAAATCTAAAAATTGTTAAAGATATTTTAATAAGAATGAATTTATTTACCGCACCTTGCATTACAATGCATCCTTCCTTTTTTGTAAATTGTTTATGTTGATCTTTAGTTTATACACTGCACCCCCCCTTAAAATGGCAAATGATAAACATAAAAATATATATAAATTTGTAACGCAGGGTGCGGTAAATACATTATTTCTTTTAATAAAATTAAAAAAAAGTTTTATGTTTAAAATATGCCAATACCTATTTAGATTTATCCAATCAAATTTTTTTTAAAAAAAAAAATTTTACAAAAAAGGGAAAGAAAATTTCTTTTAATTAAGATTAGCAATATTCTTTAATAAATTATTAAATGCAAATAAAACTTAATATACAACTTTAAATATAAAAATAATATATTTATATAAATCACCAGAGGTGATTATTGCCAGTGTCATATGATTTTTAATAATATATAATTTGTCACCCTATGTTACACCTCCTTGCTATGTATTTTAGAGACTTAGAATTTTTTTAGTATAAAAAATCCTATTTGTTATCTTTATTTGTCACATCCAATAATTTTAGCTAAATTTTATATTATAATTTTCATGAAAATGTATACTATGGTGTTGAATACTAACGGTGTGATTTAGTAAAGTTATTTTTAATATATAGTAAACTTTAATTAAACCTATAATCTTATATAATAATACAATATTTAATTATTTGCATTATAATGCATATATATTTTATTAAATTTTTTAATAAAAAAATATTTATTTATAATATAATAAATTTTTATTCTAGTTAGTTAAAAACCAATCTAGTAGAAATTGGTAATTGTGAAATATGAAATATATTTTGTTAATAAAATAAATTGAATGGTGGTAATTTCATTCTTTTAAAACTGTGTAAAATAACAGATGCCCAAAATATCTTATAATATTACTAAGTGATTCAAATTTACTGTTAACAAAAATGTTATAAATTTTGAAAAATTGATTTTTTTAAGCTTACAGGAAAGTATTTTTTATTTCCCAAAAAAAAAAAAAATCTTAAAATTTACCAAAGAATACTGAAAGAAAAATATTCAGGTCTATGGTGCGGCGCATCTATACTCATCAACAGTCCAAAAATTTATTTTAGGCCGATCTTTACCAAATTAAGTAATAGTTTAGCCTTATTTGGTAACATCCCCATTGATCATTGCGTGATTTATTAAATTAGATTTACCTGATTGGCTCAAATCGTAATCACGTGGAAAATTGATTCCGAAATTTCACTATTTTACATAGACTTATATAAAAAATACTCCAACTTAAAAAGCTAATAACTTTTAATCTATAAAAGTTAGAGGAAATTAAATCCGATAGAATGAAAGAGAATCCTTTAATCTATAATTGTATCAGTTTACTTTTTCAGTTTAACATAAAATTTTAATGAGTTATTGAAGTTTAAAAATACCCAATTTTCATTTGATGAGTATAGATGCGCCGCACCATATCCTTTTTTATTTCCTTTTTTAGAAAGTGGCCGGTATTATTGTAATTCTGGCTCTGAAATGCTTAAAGCTTATAGTATAGTAAATTTTATCCGGGGGTCCCACTTAGTTATGAATTTAATTTGTAGTATTTATTACTTTATCTGTATTATAAAAATACATATGAATTTCAGCGCTTAATAACTAAGATGTAATGAATATATTTAATTTTAATTTTTAGATTTTGAATGACAGAATGAAATGAATGATTCTTTTAAATAAAAAAGGAAATATTCTCAGCCAAAAACAACAATGATTCCGGTTGTGTTTTACTCCGTGATTCCTTAAACAAAGGATTGATCAATTTTAAAAAGATAATAAACTACAGAATCAAATTTTCCGGTTTAATTCACTAAAAGGAATATTGTCCTTCCAGCACGTTGATGATGTACAACGATAAAACTTGTAGTATACAAAAGTGATTTTCGCTTACAGTTAACGCAGGGTCTTATTTTGAGAAAACATTTATGGAAAGTGAATAATTAGATGTCACAAGAGTTTAGGGGAAAGTTTGATTAGTAATATCATTTTTATTTATGTACTACGCATAGATTACTATAGATCAACGTTACATTAAAAATAAACACTAACTATATGTAACTATAGTATTATAAAATCATTTTTAATTCCATAAATGAGTACCATAACGTCAAAGACCACCTCTTTATCAACATGAATCAGACACGCTCTCCAGTGGGGGATGTCCCATATTTTCCTTTTACTCGTAAGAATACTTGTAAATATTGACACAAATGGACATTTTTGCAGACGAACGTTTTAGAATTACCCAATAATCGGGATGAAAATTTAAAATAATTTAAAATAATTATTATATTTTTAATACTGCATATTATTTTATAATAATAATACAGTAGATCGAAAGAATAAATAGATACTGTAGATAGGAAAATACGCATAATGTTAATTCTCCGAAACATGGATATTCTTAAAACTTTGATAACCTTTTATGTAAATTCATAAATTTTAAACTCACCATTGGTTCTTGTACTATTATAATAGGGTACGTAATAATAATTACAACATGAGAGTAACGGAATTTACTAATGAGGAAATATGTTTTAAAATTAATAATACGGTTACACAACTGTTACACAGTGCCGTGTCTCTCGAATCACTGGTTTGTTTACTTCACAGCTATTGGCCGTGTAATAATATTGTATACGTTTTAAAATGTTACGACAGAATCCGAAATTATTTTCGTCATCATGAATATTCAAAATATTGAGCGGAAGAAATTTAAAAAGCCGTTTTTCAATTTCTTTTTTTTTTCGGGATCATCCGATTACATGATATTGAATGCACATGACAACTAAAAGTTTATTACTCATCTGAAATTGAAATGTTTAATCATCTTTATTTTATGTCGGAACATAAAGGTGTAAAAGTAACTAATAGGGGTTTAACGTTAGAGTCGGCGTTAAGCGGGTCGGCCCGAGCCGGTCAAATTTAGCCAAATAAAATATTATTACAAGGTAATTTAATTGATCATAAATAACTTTAAGATTTAAAGAAATTGAACACTTAATAATATTATCGGGTTTGAAAATACTTTTAACGCGACGAAACTGTAATGTTTGTAATGTTTGTAAACAATTCTTTGCACGATAATCGTGCAATTTTTACAATGGTTATTATATAAGGTAATTGTCGAGTACAAAAGTACAAATTATTTTAATATAAATAAATAAAAAAAAAAAGCCATGTTGCCAAAATTAAAAAAAAATTTTTAAGTTACAAGCATGATTTTTTAATTCTAGCATTTTAGTGTACAAACCAAATATTAAGATGGAAAAGGCCCATTTTTTATTATGCGTTATTACTTCCCTATTCATGCCCCCTTAAATTGGTTTTTTTTTAAAATGAAAAGAAATAATTTCGGCAAATCTTTCATCTCTTAATATATATACTGTATGATTATATATAAAACATAGCTGAAAGGGTTTATAACATTGACAACTATTTTTTTTGGAATTGCCTATTTAAAGACGAAAAAAAAGAATTCAGGGTCATGTTTAAAAATTTTAAATTTTAGATATATTATTTAAGGAGTTAGATATTAATTTAATTTGACGGACAAAACACGGAATTCCAGGTTGAAAAAATACACAAAAATAGATATATTGGTGAAACACAAATAGAAAAATTCATTTTTTGTAAATTTTAATAGGTAAACATATTAGGAAATCAGGATTTTTTTTAAATTTGTTTATATATACTTAATATTTTATTTTTAAATAAATAAAAAGTTCTTCGTTTACCTCAAGTATTTATATTTATATATAATGGGAAACTATCCATCTAAAAAAAAGCCCAATAATAAATCTCGAAAAAATTCGAACAAACCCGAAAGACAAAATTCATTAGAATCTAATGAAGAGACGATTTCAAGAATATCAACAACAACTTATTTCATATCTGAAGAAGTTGAAACTGAAAGATTACAACAATATCATTATTTGATAAAACATCTTTTCGATGGTAATTTTCTTTCTCCAATACATGAATTATTAAATTCTGCGCCATGCAAAGTGTTGGATCTTGGGTAAAAGAAATATTTTAAATTATTATCATTCTTTTCTTTCCTTGAAAAATACTAACACATTTTCGAAAAGATGCGGTCCCGGAACTTGGGTATTGGATATGGGATCAACTTATTATAATAATAAAAAATCAGTATTCGTTGGAATCGATATTAGTCCAACATTTCCAAATCAAATAAAGCCAGGTTATTGTTTTGAAAAAATTTGAAATTAAAAAATTTTCATCATGAAATTATGAATAATTTTTTTTTTTTTTTTTATATTATTTCCAGCAAATACTCAATTCATTCAAGCAAATATATTGGATGGGCTCCCTTTCGAAAATAATGAATTCGATTTTGTTTACATAAGAGCTTTAGGTTTATCTTTCTCTGAAACACAATGGTTAGAATTGGTATATAAAAATTTTCTTTAAAATCCCATCCTAATTTCTTTATTAAGTTTCTTCATAAAGAAGTAAAAAATATTATATATATAATTAACATAATTAATTGCTTTACAGATTTTACCAGATATTTTAAGAGTCATAAAACCAGGCGGTTGGATTGAATTTAATGAACCAGGTCCAGATGCGAAAAATTATGGACCGTATTATAAAAAAATTGTTGATACACATAATAAAGAAATGTCTATAGGTGATATTGATCCAAAAATCATTCTCAAATACAAAGAATGGCTCTTATCAAATTCAAAACTAACCAATGTTCAAGAAGAAGTTCGATATGTACCTATAGGTTCTTGGGATAAAAATAATAAACTAGGTGAAATATGTCAAGAAAATTTTAATACTTATTTAAAGAATATGGAATCTTGCATTTCCAATCATCTTAATATTAGTATAGAAGAATATGATCAATTATTAACGAAATTTTTTCAAGAATGTAATGAACTTAAAACTCAATTTCCTTTTTGTTGTATTTACGCTCAAAAACTTTAAATTTATGTGAAAAAGTAATTATTATTATTATTATGATTATAATTTTTTTTTATTTTTTACTTATATTTTTATTTTATTATTAATGTATCACCATTTCGTGTAAACCTTATCAACTTATTTTATTAAATGTAGTAACTTGCAGGATTTTTTATTGGAATCATGAATTTTTTTAGTGTGTTGAAAAGTCGCGCAAAATTGTTGTTTATTCCTTCAAAATGCCCAATCATTCATTTGCATACTTTTATTAAATAATAAATAATTTTGTAAAACAAGTGATTCTACATTAATAGTAAGTTGCATTATTGTTTGTTAAAGATTACAAATCCAAAAAAAGTTTTCTTTTATATAAAATAAGTAAAATAAGTAAATCCAAAATTGTAAAATCTACAAGAAATAAACAGGAGATGGATTCAAAATCTCATAATAAACATTTACATCCACTAGAAGTTACGGAAGAAAATGAGAGTACAGCAATTCTTGATACATATAGATATGTAAATGGAAGAAGGTTTCACAATGTAACGGGTGTAGAATATTTCATGCCAAACGACGAACAGGTAAGTCTAAAATAATTTAAAAAATTTACATTTTGAACTTGGTTCCCGTGATATCAAATAATATTATCATTCTTTTTAAAAGGAGATTTCAAGATTAGAAATGAGTTATTTACTTGTTAAATATTTATGGCAAAATAACTTTTCTTCCCCGATTCATGAAAAATTAACAAATGAAAATATGCGTGTAATAGACATTGGGTATTTAAAAAGATTTCGTTGAGTTTCACTTTTAAGAAAGATCTTATATTGATCAATTATTTTATTCTAAAAGTTGTGGGACAGGAAAATGGTCATTAGAAATGGCTGAAATGTATCCAAAAGTAACATTTATTGGAATAGATATTTCCCCAGTATTTCCTACCGAAACTAAATTTTCAAATGTTACTTTCTTTCTTGCAAATGTTCTTGATGGTCTCCCATTTGAAAAAAATACTTTTGATTTTGTTTTTCAAAGATTTTTGACATCGTCTTATACTAACAAACAATGGGAAAAAGTAATAAATGAATTAATTAGAATTTTAAAACCGGGAGGATACCTTGAACTTATGGTAAAAAATTCTTTTGTAATTTATTAATTAGTTTTTTTTATTGATATTTTTTTCTTTTATCAGGAAAAAGATAATAATTGGATTTCAATTGGGCCATCATCTAAAATACTACAAGAATCATGTAAGATAATTTACAATAATAATATGCATGTATATATGCGTATTATACATGTATGTAATTTCCTAACCATTTTTTTTTTTCTTTTTAGTTTTAAAACTACTCGGAGAAAAAGATATAAATCCATCAATGAATCTTAAAATTGAACAATTATTAAAAGATTCCAATCAACTTATAGATATCAATATTGAAACAAAGGATATTCTATTAGGAAGTCCGGGAGGTAGATTTGGTGAATTGACGTTAAAAAATCAATTAGAAGCGTTCGATCATATGATACCTTATTTATCTTCTTATATGGAATTGTCTATTAAAGAATTTAAGAATAAATATTTAGATACAATTCCAATGGAAGTTAATAAATATAAAACTTGTATTAAATGCTACAGGTTAGCGATATAAAATATTTTATAAATATATATTATATTTTTTTTTTAAATATGTACCGTATATACTAATTTTAAAATTATTATTCTTAGACATTGGGGAAGAAAGATTTAAATGGTTTAATATATATTTTTTTACGTATTTATATCGTTAATAGAAAATTTAGATCGTCAATTACACAGTGAAATTCGATATAATGGAACCATCCATTCCATTAGTAAAATTTGTCAAAAATCCGTTATATCGAGAAATCCGTTATATCAAGGGTAAATTAATTATAGATTATAATAATCCGTTCCAGACCACAATTCCGATATATCAAGACTTTACTTATGTATCAAGGTTCCGGTATATCGAATTTCACTGTGTATGTCGTCGTTTATTAGAAAGTCTATAAAATTCTGGTTAAACTGGTTAAATAATAAAATAGGATGACATCAAGCGCGTATTTAAGTGTTTAGTGACAAATCCGAGCAAATCCCTTTGAATTTTTCGTGTCCTATTATAATATAACATGCTGTAAAGATTCTGTAGCCAATTGTTGAAAATGAATTGGTAATAATAAATATAAAATAATAATGATTTATTATTTATTAAAAAAATAAAATAAAAATAATACTTTAAAAATTAACCGTAAATCATTAGACTACATTTTGTTAAAATATTCTCTTTTAATACTAATTTTATAACTATAAATTTTAATGAACTTACAAACTTTGGCAGTTAAATTCACGTACTTGGATTTTTTTAACTATATTATTTTCATATGATTTGGAATTCAAAATATTCCTTATTTATGTAAGTATTATAAAACTATTATACAAAAAAAAAATTAGAAAAAATATACATATATCAAACAATTGGTCAGATAAAGGTTTGTATACGAAAGTTTGATCTTTAGGGTGGTGTACCTCCGTCTCCACCATCTGGACCACCTGGACCACCTGGACCTCCTGGACCTCCTGGACCTCCTGGACCTCCTTTACCTTTACCTTTACCTGCTGGACCTCCGTCTGGACCTCCATCTGGACCTCCATCTGGACCTTTAGGACCTTTAGGACCTTTAGCTGGTGCTCCTCCATCATCTGGACCTGGACCTTTTCCACCTGGGCCTCCATCATCTGGACCTGGACCTTTTCCACCTGGGCCTCCATCATCTGGACCTGGACCTTTTCCACCTGGACCTCCATCATCTGGACCTGGACCACCTGGACCTCCATCATTTGGACCTGGACCTTTTCCACCTGGACCTCCATCATCTGGACCTGGACCTTTTCCACCTGGTGCTTTAGCCGCCCCAGTGACAGGACCAGAGGAACAGGCTATCTCTTTGCCAGTACCATCCACAATTGAATATTCAAGAGTGTATGTGTCAGGAACATCATCTGGTATTGTCACAAGAGTTTCGATTTCAACTGTACTTCCAGCTGCTATTGGACATTTAATTCCTTCGATAGTACAAACTTCTTGCGCCTTGGGGAAACCATCTATAGATTTACCACCATCAGGAGTAGCATCGACAGCAAATTTACCACTTTCAAAGTTGGCTGGTACAGTGAAGGAAATTTTAGCAGTCGCGGTTTTCCCAGCTACAGGAGGGTCAGGGTCAATTGATGCTGCAGTAAATTGTGGAGATCCTGAAGGACATGCAGCAAAGGCAATAGCTCTTTTACGAAGTGGGATGTTAACAGCATTAACAATTGAGAGCGTAGTCAATAAAATGACTAAAAAATTTAAAATTCGTTTCATGGTAATTAATGATAAACTGCGTAAGATAATTTTTCAGAGTAGACTGGAAATTCTTGCCTTTTTATAAGTAAAAAAGAGAGCCAAGTTATCTAGATTCCCTTAAAATGTTATTTCTATTTCTGGTTAAAAAACGCCTTTTAGAATAGACAAAAATTTAATATTGAACTTAAACATTTAAACGCCAAGAATTATAGTGAATGTTTTTTTTTATATCAAAAATAGATAAAATATACTGAATTCAAGTGATTACAGATAAATTTAATGAATGATGCAAGAAGCTGTTTCATCGACATTGTGAAACCATCTATTTTTATACATATATTATATATATGTATATCATGACACCGTATTCTTTCCCACACTATTACTAATATTATTTAGAATATTCTATTGAATTTTATTAAGTAGCACTTCGTGTGACAAGTTTCAAGATGCTAAAAAGTAAGAATCGTATCTTCGATTGAAAGTTGATTTGTACGCAAGTAACATTTTTTGACGCCCTTATGATACTTTTATAAAAATGTGCATTTATGATATCATATGCGCGTAATCGTATTATCAATAACAATTATTGTTAATTTTCAAAATTTTTTTATCATCATTCAATTGTCATTTCCTATTTCTTTAAGAAATAACAATTCTATGAGATAAACCCAACAAGCTAATTAAAAATAAATAAATAAATAAAAATAAAAAATTTAATTGTCATTTACCAGTATATAAATTACTCTATTTAATAGAGTGTATTTCCCTTTTTAATTTCTTACCTTCACAATCAAAAGCACTTGATATTTGTCATAAATTTATAAATAATTTCAGATTAAAATAAGGAATTATGCCCTAAAATATCATCATTATTAAATCTTTGTTTTAATATTATTTTGATGTACAAGTTTATTGTATGTATGCTAATAAAGAATGAAATTATTTTAATTAATAAAATTGTAAGATTAAAAAAAAAAGATCAGAATCTCTGTGACCTTACCTACTACAATTAGGTCTATTGAAATTTTCCCCCAAACAAGTATGTGATGCAAACTCCATAACTAACAATTACTTACTTATTCATTATCCGTTTCTAATTTAGGATTCCTTAAAAATTTGTAAGATATTCATGTTGTATTTATTTATTAAATAAATTTATACTTTTTAATCAAAATATTTTATTTTTATCCAACACTTAAATCTTATATTCTTTGAACGGATAATCGAATGATGTTTTTGAAACCGATCGGTTTAAATCATTATATTTATAGCTATTGATTATCAACTTCAATCTATCACGTGGTATAACCTTACATATAAAAGTTCACATGTGCATCCAAATGTTACGTAACCCTTTTTTTTTTTCAGGAATTCTTTTTTTTTCTTCTTATACACCGCCTTTAGATTCTGGTAGGGTCTATTGGCACTTTTATTTTTTGTCCGACATAAAGTGGTCTTAGGACGACGTGGTTGTTCAGTTTATACTTGTACTATCTCAAACTTTTGTATAGTTTTCATGGTCATTACTGACAGTGTTTTTAAAAAAGAAAATGTTTACGTAACCTTTTTGAAAGTGATCAATTGGTTGCTAATACAAAACGGGTATTCCGGTTGGCGAACTAGTAATTAAACCTTTTAAAGTAATTCTGTATAGCTATAATAATTAATTAGCAAATATACAAATATACAGGCTATTTTTATTTCGCGATCTGGATTTAAATTAACCCAATTGTCTTCTGTATGTCGAATGTACTACAATAAATTCGAAATTGTAACAAAAGCAAATATCCCCATAAAAAAAAATATTCATCTTGCATATTGCATATTGCATTGAATTTTGGTTGTGATGTCTTTGATTGACACCTTACCGCAAGTTGTTGTCATTTTATTTAATACTTTAATTCTTCGTATTCAGGATCGTAAAGATGATGATCTTGGATCAGGTGAATCAGACAGTGATATTCCGGATTTCTCGTCACGTTTTTCTACGTTAAAAAGAGAAGTTATTAATACCGGATTCACATTGATTCAAACTTGTTCCTTTGCTTTTCTGTTTGGTTGGAGATTTAGTCAAAAACAGGAAATAAATCCGGTTTTATCTGCAGGATTACTTGCAATTTTTTGGGTAATAATTAATTTCAGATGATTCTGTTTTTTTTTTGTATTGATTTTACTACTATTTATAAAAAATAAAAAAAAAAGTTTTATGCGTTTGTATTATCAACAATCACAATTTATACCAGATCAAGAACTTTTGCTTGGATAATTAATTGTCATTTGTCAATAATTTATACGGTTTCTTCAATTTGTTCCCTATTTCGATTTCGAAATATATTCAAAGACACGTATTACTTCACATTATCAATCGAGTCTGTGATAACTATTGGCGATTTAATAGTTTCAACGCTATTAGCATTTATCGTATTTACTACGCCAAAAGGTCCTAAACTTTATTATAAAGGAAGACTCATATTTGCAAATAGTTATTGTTCTTTTTGGGCTTTTCTCACTTATTCGACCATCACTCCATTGTTGAAAAAAGCCCACAAGTTTGAACAGTTAAATGATTCTGATCTTGATCAACTTGGTTATTCCTTAAGGGCTACAGCATTATATAAAAAATTTGAAAGATGGCGTGGTCGAAAATTACTTTTTCGAATATGGAAAGCTAATCAATATGAAATTATTATTCAAATTATATTGGCTCTTATAATACCATTTTTATATTATTTACCAATGATATTATTTTATTATCTCTTGGAATTTATTCAAAAGAAATCCCCGGATGATTCTTTGGGATGGGGTTTTATTTATTTATTTGGAATGATATTTAGTAAATTTTTACTTACGTTAGTTTATGGACAAAATCGATATTGGAGCGCAGGTTAGATTAAAATTATTATCTTTTATGTTTAATATAATAATGTTCAACCTATTATAACGTGTTATTTTCTTTCTATTAGTGGTTTTACCTTGTAATATTAGAGGTATGCTTAATAGTGAAATTTATTATAAAAGCCTCAAGAGATTTGATTCTCATACTTCAACAAATGAGAAAGAGGATGATCAAGCTAGAGAAGATAATACGAAAGATAATTTGGAAAAAGATAAAGCAACTATTGGAAAGATTACAAATTTAATGACCGTAGATACAAATCGTATATGTGTAGCTATGAATGTATGGAATGATATAATTGAATGTCCGATGGAATTGATTGTTGGCTTTTATTTATTATATCAATTGTTGGGATTGGCATGTTTTATCGGCTTGCTTGTGTTATGCGTGACTTTTCCTATCAATCATCAAACAGCTAAAATTTATACAAAAACTCAAGACAAACTTATGAAAACAAGAGATCATAGAATTAATCTTATGCATGAAGTATGCATTTTTTTTTTTTTTAAAAAAAAAAATTCCTTTTGAAAAAAAAAAACTCATTTGAAATTAATTTTTTTTATTGAAGACTCTTCAGGGGATTAGAATGATTAAATTCTTTGCATGGGATAAGAAATATGAGGATCGTGTATTAGGTGAAAAATTGTTTTTAATAAAAATTTAATTACATTTACAAGTTATATGATTTGTTAATAAAATGTCTTTTTAATTTATTAGAGGCACGAGCAAAAGAATTAATACAACTTCGTAATAATTTTATATGTCGGGCAATCTTTGATCTTTTATGGATGTCATCACCCATCTTGGTTACAATCTTCAGTTTTTTCGTGTTTACCGAAATTCAAGGAAATTATCTTACGGTTTCGATTGCATTTACGTCAATATCAATCTTTAATGAATTACAATTCGCATTTAATGCTTTGCCCGAGATGATCATGTAAGCAACATATTAAATTGTATTTCTCCGATTGTTCTCTTTTTCAAATAATAATATATTTGGGTTTGTTAGGACTTGTGTTCAAGCATTTGTTAGTCTTGGTAGAATAGAAGAATTTTTAGATGAAGAAGAAATTAATCTTTCTTTAGACGTAGATTATAATGATTATATAAATTCCAAGATTGCTTTTGAGGATGCAACAATTACTTGGAATAAAAAAATTGATGAGAATGAATTCATTATGAAGGATTTAAATATCGAATTTCCCGTGGGTGAATTAAGTATTATATGTGAGTATATTTTACATTTAGATTCGATATAATGTAATGTAGCACTTACGTATTAATTTATTAATACATATGCAAGGTGGCCCAACGGGATCTGGAAAGTCAATGCTTTTAATGTCTCTTCTGAAAGGTATTATATTTATTAAATTCTGTAATTGACTTTATATAAATTTGGTCGTTTATGTAATCTTTTTATTGATTTTCCGGTGATTTAAAAGAAACATATCTAGTTAAAGGAATTATTCATTGTCCTCGTTCACCAACCAACCCTATCAATAAAGATCTTACTTCAAAAAATTGGATATTACACAATGGTGTCGCCTTAGTTTCTCAGCAGGCGTGGCTTTTAAACGCTACTATTAGGGAGAATATCTTATTTGGACTTCCCCTTGATGAGCAACGTTACTCTCAAGTTATAACAATGACCACATTGGATAAAGATTTAGAGATTTTTCAAGATGGTGATTTAACTGAAATAGGTGAGAAGGGAATAACACTTTCTGGAGGTCAGAAACAAAGGGTTGCACTAGCTAGGTAATAAACATTTTATTATTTATAAATATATGAATTTTTGAATTTTTTTTTTTTTTTAAAAAAAAAAAATATTTCTCATGATAATATAGGGCAATATATTCTAGAGCAAAGCATGTTTTTATGGATGATATTCTTAGCGCTGTTGATGCTCATACTGCTAGATATATTATGAACAACTGTATATTGGGTCCATTAATGAAAGGGAGAACTCGAATTCTTGTTACCCATCATGTACGATTATGTTTGACTGGCGCCACTTATTTAGTAGTCGTCAGAAGTGGTAAAATTAGTGTCAATAGCACTATCTCGGAATTACGTGATTCGGGAAAATTGAATTTAATTCTTGATGATGAAGTTAGTCATTTGGATATAAATAATTTTCCAGAGTTACTTGATGATACTATTAACCAGGAAAATAATAGCAAAGCAGCATCTCATCAACCTGAATTTACTGCTTCAACTGGTACTATTTTTGATGAATCTAACAATGATATACTATTAATCAAAAAGAATTCGAAGCCTAGAAAACTTGTTCAAGAAGAATGTAAGATTTTCTTAAATGTTTTAAATAATAAAGTTACATTTTGGTAATTAATTAAATATTTGTTCAATAGCGCGTCCAACCGGCATGGTCAGATTCAAAGTTTATATGACATATTTAAGAGCAAATGGAAATATTTTGTTCTGGTTATTTGCACTTACGCTTTTCATTAGCGCAAGGAGTGCCCAAGTGTTAGGAAGTTGGTGGCTTAAAGAGTGGGCAAATGCTAGTACAGAAGAACCTCGTTATAATTATAAAGATACATTTTCAACTTTGATATTTTATATTAAGAGTCGGAAATTAATTTATGATAATTTATTAAAATTCATTAATGGACATGATGTTAGTTATTATTTTAACATTTATGTTTTAATTACTTCGTCATCTATTTTTCTTGGAGTTGCACGTTTTATTTGGCTTTATTATGGTTCTTTGAGGGCATCAAAAATACTTTATCAATCACTACTTCATAGAGTTATTAGAGCTCCTTTGAGATTTTTTGATACAACTCCCGTGGGAAGAATTCTTAACCGGTTCGGTAAAGATTTTGAAACAATCGATATTAATATATCAGGTAAAAAAAAAAAAATTTTTTTTATTTCAAGGTTTTCTTTTTAAATTATTATTTATAAAAATTTTCAATTTAGGAAATCTTGGTTGGTTCTTAAATAACGTAAGAAAGAAATAAATTATTTAAAATTTTAGCTTTATTTTTAATTTTAATAATTTCCCTTAAAGATATTCATGGTCATTGGAACAACATTAGTAATAACCTTCATCACAAAAGGTAAATTAATTTTCAACAAATTATATTTTTAATATTTTATAATTAATTACTTTTAAAAAAATTTTTTTTAGAATTTTTCATCATGGCCATTCTTATGGGTAAGTCGGTTAAGTTGTTTTCTATACTTTACGATAAATCAGAAGCCTGATAATATTATCAATATAGGAATCTATTATTTATGGGTTGGGAAATGGTTTGCTGATGCATCGCGTGAATTAAAAAGATTAGTTTCAGTGACGAGATCTCCGGTATATAGCCATTTCACTGAAACTTTAATGTAAGTTACGACACTTGCATACAGTATATGTATATTAATATTAATTACGATCTTTTTTTTTTCAATTTTATATTTTATAGAGGAATCATAACAATACGAGCTTATGGCGCAACTCGACGATTTATGCAAGAAATGATAACAAGGTTTATTTTCTTGATTTTTTCTTATAATTCATATTTTTTTCAGTTATTTAAATTTTAATTATTTTTATTTTATCGCATTAAATAGAATTGACGATAATAATAGGCCAGCATTTTATTATATGTTAATAAGACGCTGGTTATCTGTCAGATATGATTTTGCAGGTGTCTTCGTCACATTTATTGTTGGAGTTCTTATTTTGTGGAACTTAGATTATATTGATGCCGGTCTAGCCGGTTTATCACTATCATTCGCTATGCAGTTTACTCATCAGATTATGTGGTATGTTAGAAAATATGCTTCACTCGAAACGAGTTTAAATGCAGTAGAGAGAGTCAACGAGTTTTCAGAAATTTCTCAAGAACCTCCTGGAATTATTGAACCGAGACCACCTGCTAGTTGGCCATATGAGGGTGCAATAAGCGTCGAAAATTTGAGCGTGAGATATGCACATGATCTAGAACTTGTGTTGCAAAATGTTTCATTTAGCGTTAAGGGACATGAAAAAGTTGGAATAGTTGGAAGGTAAAAAACCGAATAATTAGTGTTGGATATATATTTTTATATTATTTACTTACTTTATTTTGATTTTTAGAACTGGATCCGGAAAATCAACTTTAGCTTTGGCATTATTTAGATTTATGGAAGAGTCTGAAGGAAAAATTTATATTGACGGAATTGATATCTCAACTATTGGAGTTTATGATATCAGATCAAGAATTACTATCATTCCTCAGGATCCAATATTATTTACTGGTAAAATTCTATATTTGAAAACTTTAAAACCTTTTTCTTAAATATTGAATGAAGTTTATATTTTATAGGAACATTAAGAAGCAATCTTGACGTATTTTCAACCTATCAAGATCATGAAATTTTAGAATCTTTACGTCGTGTTCACTTACTACCTTCCGATGAAATAGTCCAAAATGATCCATCTTTAGAAGATAATATCAAAATATTTTCTAATTTAGAAACACCTGTTAGTGAAGGTGGAAAGAATTTTAGTCAAGGCCAAAGACAATTATTATGTCTCGCTAGAGCTTTACTGAGAAGATCTAAAATTATTATAATGGACGAAGCTACGGCCAGGTAAAGTTACAAGTTGCGTTTATATTTTTTAGCAAATCTGAAAGATCTTTACTTATTTATAACTGATATATTATTTTTAGTATTGATTTCGCTATGGATGAAAATATTCAAAAGATGATTAGAGCTGAATTTGAGGATTGTACAGTATTGTGTATTGCTCACAGATTACGTACTGTAATTGATTATGATAGGATCTTAGTTATGAGTAATATGATGTGAAAATTTTTATTTATTTATTTATTTATTTTAATTTATAACGAAGTTAATATAATTTTGTTATTATTCACAGATCAAGGAAAAATTGTAGAATTTGATAGGTATTCATTTAATAATTCTATTTTAATTATATTAAATACTTCGATACTAACTAATCTACTAAATATTTTAAATATTTTTTTCTAGCCCAAAAAATCTCATTATAAATTCTGAATCCTTATTTCACAAGTTATGCCAAAATTCTGGTGAATATGATATGTTAAAATTATTAGCATTAAACAACAAGGAACAAGTAAACTAATAGTTACAATTATTAAAAAGCATCTTAATGATATTTCTCTTCGTTTAATATTTGTTTAAAATATTTAATTGTATTATTTAATCCTAATAAAACTCCTTCATCTTTTCCAATACCTTCTCTAAAAAATGAATGAGCAAAATCTATCACCTTTAAATCTGTTATTTTGTATGTGTCTTCATAATCCGAATCAGTGTCGTCTTCTTCCTCTTCAATTTCTTCTTCTTTCTCTTCCTCCTCCCCCTCCTCCTCTTCAATATCTTCTTCAATTTCTTCTTCGGCATAACCATTATTATATATTTTAGTTTCATGATTTTGTTCTTGTTCTTTATTTAAAGCTTCAGCAAATGTATCAGGATCTCCTTCGTAAACAAAAAATAAAGAAGCACCGATTAATCTTATTTCTTGTTTTTCTAAAACTCTTAAAGAAGATTCAAGATCATTAATAAAACGTTCAATAACTATTCGACGATGATCTATTGGTATTTCTGAAGTGAAAAATTCTGCTAAGTCTGACACAATTGATTTAGTAGTAGTTTTACGACCATCTTCTTTCGTAAAGTTGAAAAAACTATCACTTGATTTTCGGTAAACCTGTATTATTATACTTTTAGAAATAAGATCTATATATTTTTTTATATGTATATTTATACAATCATTCCATACCTGAAAAGCCACTATTCTAATACCCAAAGAACTTGATGTGCTTTCTAGAGATTTTTTAGTCATTCTTTGACGTTTAGCTTCATCAGCATCTTCGCCCCATAATTGAGTTCCTAATTTCAAATCCATTATACACGGTTTTTTAAATTTATATATAAGATTCTCTATACAAATGGCTTGTATAATCAAATAAAAAAGTTAAGAAAATTATAATTTTTGGAAAAAAAAAATAAATTTCAACAATAAAAAGGATATCATCAACTTCAGTAACATTAGCTTGTTGTGAAGAAATTTCTTCTCTGACATTTTGAGCGATCGTTTCAAGATTATTAGATTCTGACTGTACACCTTGTAATTGCAAACTACCATAATATTTTGGTATCCATTCGGCAAAATCGGGATATAATACACTATTTTCATAAAAAATTTTTTCAATAGAATTACAAGGTTTGACTATTAGAAAACCATCGTTTACCGATAATAATCTATCATGTCCACCAATTTGGCGGTCAAATTTTTGAAAAGTCGCTTCTTGGGATGACATATTTTTGGTTAACTCTATTAATTATTGAGTAGTACCTCAGAACTTTTTATCCTTTTTATAGAGTATATGCAAAATAAAGTAATTGCATAAAGTGCAAATCCGGCTAAGAACGGAAACATAAAACAATTATTTATGTTGCACGATGTGCAGGCATTCATTTTAATTAACGTGTATTAATATTGGCAGTCATTATATGAATCAATAAACTTTAATGGACAACCTATTGTTTTTTAATATCATATTATTTATTCATAACAAATGCTTCCGAAAAAATTTATATTCTTAATATAGCAATAAAGAATCGCTTCCACCTGATTTGGTATCAATCATTTTTACAATCTATAATTTACAATCTATGAACATTTAAATCAGGAAAACTGGCAGAAGAGAGTAAGCAATGGTGAAAGAGGGAGAGTTAAAAGAAAAGTTACTGCGAAAATTTCTAGTAGGTCGATAAAATTTTTCATAAATATTGCTTATGTAGAGACTTCTTGTGTGTAGGAACTACTTCTAATTTCTTGATGGCATTATCTAAAAGTGAAAAAGAGTAGATCTGTTAGAATAAGGGATGTTATTGTGTAAATATCATCGGTCGTCTCCTTCATTGATTTTGACTTTGATGAAATTTGTTAAAACAAGCCAAAAAATATTTGAAACAAAAGATCTACAAAGGAAACACCGAAACTACCTTTTTTGAAGTTTTTTCCCACCTCTCAAAAAACCAAGCTAGATTAAGTAGTGTATGAAGTCCATGATTACCCAATAAGATTGTAAACTTGAAAGTATCGGCTTACAACGCGTATATCATATCACGCAAAATTCACGTGTTTAAAGTTTAAATCGGCCTATATATAAAAACGTTACTGTGCTTATTAAACTTTCTTTTTCGTTTCTTTCCAACTCTGTGAAAAATGTCGAAAGAACAATCTTTATCAGAAATAACTTCGGAAATAATTTTAAGTTCACCAAGAATTGTTTGGAATGAAACATATTTTCCTTTTGAAATTCTAACCACACTACACGCAATATTTATAGCTTATCGTTATAAAAATAATTTAAAAGAAGCAAAAGTACCATGGTTACAAGGATTATTTGCAGTATCAGTAATGGGTGTTGGAGGGAGTACATTAAGTAATATCCTTATAGGAAAACCTCCAGGTTGGCTTACCTCAAATTCAACCATGACATTATATTGGTAAATAAAGTTTTTTTTTATTATTTTACGAAAAAGAGAACTCTCGAAATCAAAATTTAAAATATAATTCTATTTTTTTTATTTCATAGGACGACTTATTTATTAATGTCTTATTTTCCACAATTTTATTGGTTAATTGATATGTTACCATCAAATTTACTTAATTTAATATTTGTAACAGCTGATGGAATGGTACGTGCAATAGCAATTTGTTCTTCAGGTGTAGATAATGTTAGATTTGGATCATTTCATGGAATAGATAATAAATCAATGAATTCTAGTTGGGTAGCTATATTAATTTGCGGAAGTTTATGTGGTTGTGGTGGAGGTATTTTAGACTCCACGTTTAGAATTTCTTCTCCAACTTGGACATTCTCAACACCAACAGCATTTATTAAACCAAGTTATGATATGAAAATTAGTTTTTTTATTGCTTTATTTTATGCTTTAACTACTACTACTTCCTCTGATGAATATATTGATACAAGATTTACAATACCATTGTTTAGTATCAATCAAGGAAGAACTTTGGCCATTTTTGGTATGATTATATTGAAGTTGGCTAAAATAATTGATTTTAAAAAGAAAATCCCGGAACAGGAAAAAGTTAAAATGAAAGAGAATTAGATTGGTCTAGAAATATTTTTGTCCAATAGGTGTGATTTATCAAATTTTTTCTATAATAAATATCTTTTGTTTCGTCCTTTTACATATTTGCCTAATAAATTTATGTTATAATGACCGATTGTGTAACGTATAGCGGCGTGATCCATAGCTGCATAATAACTATCATATGATAAGGAACAAATAAAACAAAATAAATGTTAAGCATAATTTGTCATAACTTATCAGCTTATTTGGATGACAAAAATTAATTCCCCGTACATAATCACGCGTATTCATTTTTAATTTAAAATGTTCGAAAAAGGATTTAATAGTAAAAAAAAAAATTTTTCGAGTGAAAAAAATGGGTGCAAAAATATCTAGAAAAGAATCAACTTGTAATGAAAAATCTGAAAGTCAAGAAAATATTAATCTTATATTGGAACCAAATTTTGATTGGGCTACTGTAAAAGAAAAAAATAATGGTGATGATGATAACAATGATGATTTAAAGTCTGATTACGTAGTAAGTTATTTACTATATGTATATTTTTCCTAGAAAAAAAAATAATTTTAATAACATTTAAAATTTTGTAAAAGTTTCCAAAGGAAATTGAAGAAGGTTATAGAGTACATTCAACACATTTTGCACTTAAACATGTTTGTAATGGAAATTATAAAGTACCTTTAAAAGAACATCTCAAACCAGGTTCAAAAATATTGGTAACTATAATTTCATTAGAAATTCTTTTTATTTATGCATATATACATAATACAAAATTTCAATTAAAACAGGATGTAGGATGTGGTTCGGGATTATGGTGTGAAGAGATGGCTCGTGAATTTCCAGATGTAAATGTATATGGTATAGATTTAGTTGATTTTCCATCAAAAATTAAACCTTATAATTGTAAATTTTTTCTTGGAAATATTATATTTGGATTGCCATGGGTTGATAATACTTTTGATTACATCTGGTCAAGATGTTTATTCACTGATATTAAAAGTAAATATTGGCTACCTTTATTGTTAGAGATGTATAGAGTATTAAAACCTAATGGTATTATAGAATTTCAAGGGGGTGATGGCTATGGTAAGTAATTTTTGTAAAAAGCTTTTGAAATATTTATAAAAATCTATTATGAATTGTTACATTTATTTATTTGTTTATTTCTTTTTTTAAGCATTATCTGCTGGACCTTTATTGGAAAAAGTTCAATCCAATTGTTGTAAGTATATAATTTATATATTTATAAAAATGTATATTATAACTTTTTAATAATTTCTCCATTATTTCCATAAAGTAAAGGCGGCATTAGAGTTACGAGATATAGATCTAAGAATTACTCGTAGATTTGGTGAAATTGTAAAATTAGCAGGATTCAAAGACATAAATGAGTCATATCAATCGATAGCTGTTGGAAGGTGAGTATTATTTTTTTTTTTTACTGAATAATTTTATGTCTTGTAAAATTTTCATATTAATTTACGAATATTTATTTAGATGGGGAGGTAAAATAGGAGAAATATGGGCATCGAATTTAAAAGAGTCATATCTTACAATGCAACCTTGGTTATCTTCATATATGGGTATAAGTGAAGATGAATATAATCGTACTATTAAAGAAATTGTTGACAAAGAATTAGATACACATAAAACTTATATTAATCATCATATTACCTGGGCAACTAAAAAACCACATTATAAATATTATTGGATAACATATCTTTCAGCATTTAATATCAATTTACATTATTAATAATATACCTGTCTCTTATACACATCTAGATGTGTATAAGAGACAGATAATATACAGTATAATTAAATATGTACAAATGAATTCAAACTAAATGTTTTTTTTTTTCATTCATTCTAACATGGTCTTCCGAGATGAGATATAATTATATGTTTATCTAAACATTCCCTCCCACAACAAGCTACATTTTTACACTTTTTACAAATCAATAAATTCCAAATATCTATTAAATCTCTAGCTTCATAATTACATTGAACACAAATTGGACTCACTTTTGGTCTTGTAGAATCTAATCTTTGCATATAAGAATAAGATTTTTTAACTAATTTATCAGCACTCTCTATACCACATTGACCGATTAATTCACATTCTTCGAAACTTTTTAATGCTTCTAAAAGATCACCTCTTGAATTAGCAGTTATTGCAAGACAATAATTTATATGAATACGAGAAGCCCTTCTTTTTTGATTTTGATTATAAGAAAAAATTCTTATAATATAAGGATCTTGTAAATTTTTATCTATTTCAATCATTAATATAATACCATGATTTAAAATATCTAAATTATTTGGATCACTTAATAGATTATTATATAATTTTGTTAAAGCATAAACGGTTTCAAGAATAAGATCAATGTCCCATGATGAATGTGGAATCATTAAAGTAAATTTTAACGCTATAAAATAATAAACTGAAGCAGTATTATAATCTGAAAATATTGATGAATAAATTGAACCTAATTTTACAGAAGCATACACGGAACCTAGTTGAGATGCTCTTAAAAGAAGATTAATTGATTTATCATAATCGAGAGAATTTAATTTGCGTTCAGCTTCTTCTAAAAGATGTGATATAAATATTGAAGTAAATAAATTAATATTATTATCATGACTATTGAAATCAGGAACTAATGATGTTGCATTCTGAGAAATGGTAATAATTGAAGGTCGATATGGTTTTTTTAAATGATGAACACATTGAAAACATTGAGAGAAACCTGAACCCATTGAACCAAATAAAAAAAAAAAAATATTTTGGTTCTGTTTTTTTTTTTTTTTTGGAAAGAATAATATAAAATTTGAATTGAGAAGAGTACTTAAATAATCGATCATTCGATCATTGTAATTTAGGGAATGAATATCTGAATTTCATATGATTTTGTGTTTGTCAATCTTTTACGTTATCCTCTTAATAGATGATATGTAAGATGCTTAAAGTATTTTCCGGTATCTCTCGGGAAGATTTGAAAGAATTGTGGGAAAATAAAAAAGGATAATCAGTTTATTATTTATTCGTAACTTTAAACTTTAAGCTTTAAATTGGCGTCACATGATGCCACAGACTTTCCGCAGCTTAAAGCTTATTTTAATAACCTCTTTTTAAAGATATTACTCCAATAAAATGTCACTAAAATAGATTCATTATTCAATATTGAAAAATTATAACGTAAAAAGACGTAAAAATCTTTGTTAACTTACCTATTTGTTTGATTTGTTTGATTTTTTTGACTATATATCGGAATATATTGAGTAAAATTAACGAAAGACGAAAAATTACATTTTATATTACATATTTTAATTTTGTTAAAATTGATTCTTCCAATAACTCCAATAATAATTAGCCCAATTGAAAACGTCCAAATCCAATGTTGATTAAAATGCTTTGTTACCCAATTTGCCCGAGTTGATGTTATGGCCGATAACCAGATTAAAGATAAATTTATATATCCGGTAAGTCTATGATGTTTATAATATTTTTTTGATTTTGATATTCCACCAAGTAATGAGGGGAAAAAAGTTAATGCTAAGCCTGTTATTAACTGAATTATATATACAATAAATGCAATCAACCCGATCTTTGCATGATATGTTTTATCTATAGAAAATATATATATAGAAAATAGTAATAATGATTTGTATTATTTAGTATTAGTATACTGAATAATTAAAATTAAGAAAATTTTGCACTGACTTACAATGAGTACTGCCTTTGATCGATTTATTGTAATAAATTACTACAAAGCCAATAATGAGACAAATCAAACTAATTATTTGCATCAATTTATGAAAAAAAAGACTTCGAGCCTTTTCTTGCTTCTTCACAGCTTTTTGAAGAACGATTGTACCTAATCGAAGAAATAAAATAAAAAAGATTCGAAAATTCACCATAGAAGGTAATCTTATATTTTAAATAAGTTTTCATTTACCCTGGGTTGATATTAATATCATAATAGCCATTAAAATTGGATGCCAAACGAAAAGTTTATAATCGGCGATATATGAAATGTATAAGTTTGTTCCGACGTATATTAAAAGTCCAAGTATTGATAAAATATAAAATATGAAGTCTTTATTAAATTTGTTAGAATGTTCTTCTTGCGCATTCCTTTCAATATCCTCCATTATTAATTTTCTTAAAAAGAAAGTCATTTTGTTAATTAAGAAAAATAAAGTTGAGAGTTAATTATTAATTATCGAATTTATTTATATTTATTTTGTCCGATTTAAATTGATTGTTTACGTAATTATATAAACAATAAACAATTCGTGCCATTTTAAAATGTCTAAAATGTTTATATCACTTGACATTTGTATGACAATAGAAAAGTATCTAATAATTATCAAATGATTGATTAATCTATGGATGAAAGTAACTGTTGTGATTAAGTTGCTAATATAATCAATGTAATCATCCCTTAAATAATATTCCCATAATTATCTATCTTACGGCTTCTAATACTAATATCATACAGTTTTCCTGATTTTAAGTGACACATTTTGCTTACTATGGATGTCTATTGGAGCGTAAAGATCGCAGTTGAAATTTTCAAATGTCAAATTTCCCAAACTATACATATTAGATGAGGTCATATCTTCTTTTTCCTTATTTTTGGGATAACACAATAACATAAGCAAAATAAGAAGAATATTTTTTGCTGTAAACAATAGAAATATATTATAAATACATGTGATTATACCGCGTTTTAACTTAAGGAATATGATGTCATATTTCGTATAATCATAATTGATAAACTGAATAACCAGTACAAAAAAAAGTATAATTGTTATTGTTTTTCGCGACAATCTTAAAGATTTTCTGTCAGAGAAATTCTACGTGCTTGATTTATTATATGATATCGCTCTATCACTTATTATGATTGAATCATCCATATTTACGTTAAGATCTGGTTTATTATCGAAACTACCTAACTGCGGAATTCTTGTGAATATCATGTCACGGTGATTTTAAATCCTCTATTAATCCTGTCAAATGTTTGTTGAATAATGCCTTGGCTTTAATTATGCTATATATAAAATCAATTTATGGTTCCGGGCCCTGATCAAAAAGATTAGAAAAACCAACGTATGTAGCAAGTAGCAAGTTGCTTTTTTTTAATTCGTGTACTACAATATCTTTTTAACGCTGTATTTATTCAATTCTATCAATTATAAGATATGAATTTTATCAAACCTCTTCCATCTTTATTTGTCCGCGAAAAGATCAATCAGGCCATAAAAGTATCAATTTAAGATTCAGGATAATTTACTGGTAAATTATAAACAAAAGTTATTCATGACACGTTTAATACGTTCGAGCCCACGATCTGATCTCAGAGCGGCAATTATATATATTTAACTGAACCGTAATTCATCAGATCTTTCAAGACTTATTTAAAGATTGTGAATAATAGACAAACTACTAAAAATTTCCTGCCTACTTCTCCTGCTTTTCTGGTTCAGAAGGCGAATCATATATGAATGTCATATTAGATGATGTATGTATAATACTTTATTTGCGATGCAGATGCAAAGCACTTTAGAAATGATGATATTATGAAAACTGCGTGAATATGTGAACAGTCTTTTAATCATTTATGTCCAAGTTGGTATGATAATAAACAAAAAGATAATCAAAGATCAATTATATTGGTAAGTTGTTTTCCAATAACAATTATTATTGTGTTATTGATTACAATAAATGAATTAATTGAATTACTATACCGGTTAAAAATTACTTACTAATTAGTAAATCCTCTGCAGTTTCCGTAAAATTATAAATTTATATTTCTCGTTATTTCTAGGCTTTGTTTTGATTATTTTTAGGGAAAGTTTTAAAATACTTCCTAAAAGGATCTTTCACAATTAGAAGAAATAGCTTAAATATGATCGAAACTCATGCTTCGTTTATAATCATAATATTACCTGTTACTAGCAGTGGCTCTAAAAAATATATTGAAAGGGCTACTCACCTGATTCTCAGGTGTAATATTTTTGCTATCAGGAGTTTAACCAATAAAAAAAGGTATTTAAATTGTTAATATCACGTTATGATATGATTTTTACACATTTTACACAATCTTTATCAGGAATACATGTCGCGTGACTCGCGTCAAAGTCAATTATCAAAGAGATTATCACATGAAAGTTTAGTTTGTTCGTTTCATAGACGTTTAAGAACTTTACCGTATCGATAATCTCTTATAATTACATATCGTTTTACACCTTTTTTTTATTTAATCCAACGTTACATTATGTGATTATTATTAGCATCAATCTAGCTGGTGAACTTGGCAATTAATTAGAAAGACAAATTACCCATACATATTAAAATATTTTTCTTTTTATTTTCTTTTAAAAAAAGTAAGGGAGAAAACAACATCAAAATTATTGGGTTGAGAACCTAGTTTTTATTTATAAACCGAATTTATTATTAAATAGAACAACCATGAAAGTATACTTAATATCATATAGTACTATCGATCAAAGATTTATCATTATAAAATTCTATGTTTATTATATTATTATTTTATTAAAAAAAACTTTTTTTTTTATGCGTAATATGATGATAAGAAAATTGATTTTGTTTATTGTGACAAAAAATTATTATAATGCTAAAAATAATTTTATGTCCCAGTAAACTGTCAACTAAAATAGATCTAGAATTCTGAATATGTCTAACACAATATCCATCCCTACGTTTTTCACATAGGCATAATACCTTGAGGTTTTCTTCAACACGTTGTACTATATTTGCTCTAGGAGATTAAATAAAATAAGGAAAATAAATAATAATCAGACAAATAATTTACATGCTTTGAGCCAACGAAGTCCTGTTGAATTTATCATTTGATGTTTTCTTGCATAAAGCAGTGGTCTAGGAAATTTGCAGAACAAAAGTTGCCCGGATGACACTGATATGAATCGTCAAAAGAAGTAGATTGAACTTTTTTTCAACGAATGGCAGATTTTTCCGGATAGTCACACCAAGACTTACTGAGTGTTTGAAAAAAATAAATTACATACTATATGAAAATAAATTATAGTATAGTAAATAATAAGAAAAAAATATGTCGAATAATTAGGGTTTAATAGTAAATTGATGTAATTATTGTGAATTTAGCAGCAAGTACCATCAGATGAGAAAGAAGACATTGATTCTGATCTTCCCTTATATAAATTTCCCATAAATTTCTCTACGCTTCCAATATCATCACGCTCTTCTGATTTGAATTGACACATTTGATTTACTATACCCTTCCAACGTTGATATTCTATTGGTAACTTTGGCATTGTTTCTTGATTACCTTTTTGTAAATGATTATGAAGATTTTTAATTGAAACTTTTTTAAATGGCAAATTTCCTGCTTCACACCAAGCGATTTCCCAAAATAATAATCCTAAACTATATATATCAGATGATGCAATAAGACTTTCTCTATTTAATAACCTATCCGGATCATACCATCTTTTCCAAACTTTGTCTTTAGGTGAAATTATTATTTTTGGATACACAAAAGTTTTGTTATCACATAAGTTTCTGCTCCACAGAAAATTGGAAATTTTTGGTTTTAATGTTTTTCCTACTTCATCTTGTTCAAGTAAAATATTTGCACTTCGAAGGTCCAAATGTAAAATTTTTTTCTATAAAAAAAGATGATATATATGATTAATTTCGTGTAAATGTTTGAAAAGAAAAATTTGATATAACGTTTAATCCTTACATTATGTAAATATTTTACGCCTTGAGATATATCCCATGCTAATTTGATTTTTTCTTTCCAATCTTTCAGGAGATTTAATGTCTTATGATTAGATTGGAAATATGTGAAGAGGTCATCATATTTTGCGTAATCATAAAACAACATTAGTTTACAGTTGGAAACTGTATAACCATGAAATTTAATTATATAATCATTATTATTCAGTTGATGTTTATGGTAAAGATAAATCTCTTTCTCGATGCATAAAAAAGTATCATTGTTATTTAGGTGTTTTAACGATTTTCCCGCGACAATCTTATTATTTAAAGAACGTTTTGTCGTTTTGTAAAAATCCCCTTCAATTACTTCCTCAGAAACTCTACACACTTGATTTGCTATATGATACCATTTAGATAAATCTTTATCATGAATTATACTTAAATCATCATCATTAACGTTTACTTTAAGATCCGGATCATTAACGAAACGTTCTAATTTAGTTTGGAAATCCTTTTTAACAATTATTAATTTTGATAAATGTTCATTGAATAATTTCCCGGCACCAATTATTCTACATGCAAAATCCATCGAAAGAAAATAAATAAATTAGAATCATAGGTTTTAGGTTATAATAAAAAAATATATTTATACACTAACCTATTAATATCGATTAAGTCACTACACAAAAATGACATTTGCTTTGTAAATGAAACGACTGAATAATCATCTTTTACTAATAATGATAATAATAATAATAATCGAATTAGCAAACCAATGTAATTATTTCAATTATTTTTAAGGAAAGAAAAAATAAACAACTTACCAATACAATAACGTACAATTAATCTTAAAAAATGAATATATAAGTATTCCTGATTTTCTAAAATTCTAGTAAGTTTATCTTTTTGGTCATTATTTAGAATTAATGTTTTAAAGCTAATCAAATGTTCATTCATTTTCTGTGCAATTTCTCTAATATCATCGTTTCTAAAGTGTTTTCTTTTAGACGCAACAGCGTTCTCTATCACTTCGCAAAGTATTTTATATACATAGTCAAATTTTTTGGTTAAGTCGCTGTCATCATTATATGATTTTTTATCATCATCATTTGATACTGGTGGTACGAATATAGTTTCAACCGGAGAAATGGGAAACCCAGGAGAAGTAGGTAAAGGAATATTTGATGATACTTCAACCGGAGGAGTAGGTAATGAAATATTTGATGATACTTCAACTGAGGAAGGGAATTTTAGCGGTGCATATGTAGTTTCAGCCGCACGTGTATGTATTGGAGTTTTTGGTGGTACGTATGTAGATTCAGCTGGATGTGTATGTGTTGAAATTTTTGGTGGTACAATTATATTTTTCGGATATTGATTTGAAGTTTTACGTGGCGAATATTCCCGAGATGATTGTCTAGCACAATATCCATCCCTATGATTTTCACAAAGCCATAATATTTCTCCAGTGTCTTCTTCGACGCATTGTACTAATCCACCAAATTGATTCGTACTTTCATTTGTATCAAGAAATCCTAAAATAAAAAATTTTTTAATCTAGATGAAAAAAAGGTGATCAAAAAAAAAAATCACATACTTTTGAGTTCACGAAGCCCTGTTTCATTTATCATTTGATAAGGAATGTTACGATCTTTGCTCAAAGGATTAAAATTAGGACATTCATCGTTTATAGTTTTTCCACCAATGTCAATTGTATCAATGATTTCTTGGATATGTTGCATAAAGCCAGGTTTATCTGCCGTATTAAATACTGCTGATAGAATATTAGCGATACTGTTTGGAAATACGTTAAATATGCTTGGTGCCATGACACCCATAACTCCAGATAATGCTGTTAAACTATTGTCAAAATTTATAAATTTCGGTTATTAAATGGTAAAAACAATATAATATTATGAGAATAATTTTTTTTTTATAGTTTACCAGAGACTTATCCAAGGTCCATATTTTTTAATAAACTGAGGAACTTGAAGAACTTTGTAACCCGTTTGTTCCGGAATGTGCCACTGTCCTTTATGCTCACAAACAAATAAAAGACGAAAGGGCTTTGATAACATCCATGCTCTATAATGAATAAATGCAATGTAAAAAATGAAATAATGGTTGAATAAAAGATTTTTTTATTTTTTTTAAAAAAAAAAAATATTTTACATACGCTGGTTTTTTCCAATCTTTCTTATCAGGGACCATAACAAACACTCTTGGTACCTTTTCATGTTTAACCTTGACCAACTGTTTTTTTTTTATAAAATAAAAAAGGTTAATTTTAATTAATTAATAAATGAATTTGGAATTTAAAAATTACTTAACCCATTGTGGAATTTTCGTAGTTAAACCCTCTACAGCTTTTGTACAATTATCAATTTTACTGCTCATAATTTCTAGGCTTTTTTTCATTTCGTTATGATATTTTTCGAGGAAAATTTTAAATGTTTCCTAGAAGAAATTTTTTTTTTTCGCAATTAACTTGAAAGAAATATCTTGAAGTAATAATTTAAGAAAATTAAATATTCCAGCTCCCTACTTGTTGATACAATCGAAATTCTACGTCGTTCATTCCACGTATATAATCAGAATCATATTCATTATTAGCAATATTCGTTGGTTCTAAATGTAAATTCAATTAAATCAAAAAATGAATGTGAAATCACACTTTCTTATCGTATATTCACCTTCCAAGATCGGATCACCTAATATCGTTAAACTTGTTCTGTACATTTTTTTTTCTATACGTTCGACAAAATTATCTTAATATATGATAATTAAATATTAATTAATTTATTCTATATTTTATTTTGCTTACCTGATTCTCCGGTGTAATATGATGATTGCTATCAAAATAATAATAATTGATTAGAATCTGAACTATTAAATAACGAGATTAAAAATTGTTGAATTACACGATTACCATAAATATTTGCAGTGTCATTCGATTTATTATAGTTTTGCTAAGTAATTCTTTTATAATAAAACAAGCAGAAGGATCATGGACATCAATCAACAAGTGTCTTGTTGATATCATTTCTTCTTTCGCTACTTCACTCTCTCCATCCCAATAATGTTGACCTAATTAATTAGATTATTTGATTATTATAATAAAGAATGTCAATTCTTAATAAAATTTTATTTTTAATTGGAATTTAATGCGTATTAAAAAAAATACCTAAATACCTGTTTCAAGAAAATATAAAACGAGCCCAAAAGAAAACATGTCCATCGCAAAATTTGCTTTAATTTCTGTTCCATTCTCGCGTGCTCTTATAACTTCAGGGGCTGAATAATTCGTTACAATTTTTACATCATCTTTATCAGAAATACATGCAGAGTCAAAATCAATTAACTTCCACCTTTCAGTGTAACCATCTTTTTCTTGAAAGTACATTATATTTTTCGGTGCTAATTCAGTATGCACTGTATTAAAATAAGCCAAGCATGTCGTCAATTAAAAATTGCTGCGGACAGATAGCTGATAGACAATGTTATTCAGAAAATTTACCTATATTATGCTTTTGAAGTTCCATGAGACCTGAAACAATACTCTAGTAATATATATATATATATAAGAATTTATTTTATAAAAAAAAAAGTCGACGAGATTATTATATAAAAATTTACCTTTATTATATCACCTTCCTCTTTATGTCGCTGACTATAATCTTGATGGCTTAAAAATGTTTCCAGGTCATACAAGGCACATTCACAAACAATAATTGTTTGCTGTGAGTAAACGTCTATCATTTGCATAATATTCTATATATTTGAACAAAAAAATAAATTCATATTAAAAATTTTTTTTTTTTTTCCAAATGTAATTCACACATACAAAAAAAATAATTTACCGGTGCATCCTTTAATATTTCTAACGCTTGTGACTCTATTTCGAATGCTTCTCTTGTTTTATAAGATTTTATCACATAAGGAACTCTTGATTTATCATTATTCACTTCATAGGCTTTATAAACGTTAAGGTCTTTACCGTATCGGAAATTTCTTATAATTTTATATCGTTCTATTAAAATAATTTTATTTAATTCATGTTACTTGATTGTTACTTAATTAATTAGAGAGATTAATTACCTCCAACCGTACCCTCAAGCTTATCTCCTAAATTATTATGCATGTTTAAAGAATTTTTTTTTGTTTGTTTAAAAAAAAAAAAAAAGCGAGGGTAATAACAAATTCAATCGAAAAGAAGTAAGATATACAATTTACTGTCCCACATAAAAGAACAATTCTTATTAGACAATAGAATGAAGATTAGATTTATAAAGAAACTTAGATAATTTCTAATGTTTTATATATGTTGTAATACAGAAAAATATATTTCACACGCACGTATAATTTTTTACTTTATTTATTATTCTCTTTTTAAAACGTAAATTTTCTATACAGGACGCCCATGACTTCATTGGGAAAATTTATTCCTGACGAATCCTAGTAAAGTAATATATTTACAATAAAACCAAAAGATCGGTTTAAATTCCATATTCATAAATATGTTTCGAATGAATTAATTTTAAATTGTATTATATTGTAAAATAAAATTAAATATATTGTCATTGTCAAACCCATTTTTCATTTAAAAGTACATTATAGGTTTAGTACAATGCTGTTGCAACGCTATGTAAATATGCATTCTGCAAACTTTTTTTGTCATCTATGCATGATAAGCAAAATTGGTTTCGTTCCTTGCATATTTTAGGTAATGCGGCGAAAAATGATTATACGCCAAGAATTAATTTTATAGCATTTCCCCAGTGCAAAAATTCCCCATATTAAATCGATCTAACAGCCGTGCCCATGTAAACAATAATTTCCATATAGTTTGGATTATAGACCTTTAAACTCGAACTAAACCACAATAGATACGGTTTTTTTTGTGTGACAATCTATCGGGAGAGTATGCATTTGGCTAATATAATGTTTTTTACATAGTAATAAAATATCCAATCTTTTTTTTATCGGGGACCATTGATACAATGATACCTTTCTTGTTTAACCTTGATCAGCTTTTTTTTGAATTTTCTCTATAAAAGTCTAAATTAATTAATTAACTAAACGAATTATGAAATTTAAAAAATTATTTATTGTGAAATTTTCCTAGTTAAAGTCTTTACGGATTATCAATTTCAAGTACGGGTGTACATGTCATGATGTTCAGAGCGACACTTTTTAATTTTTTACACAGTCATCTCTTAGATCTTGAAAAAATGTCGAGGAGCGAGGAAATTTACAACACAAAATCTATATTATGTGTATGTATGTTTGTGTGTATATATATCGTACAATTCCGGAGAAAATTTCTTTTTTTATTTCGTTATAATTAAAATGTTATAGATACATATATTATATGAAACCAATTATGATAAAATAAGATAAAAGAAATCTTTAAAATAATAATTTTAATTTAATAGTAAGTCGCATCAGTTGAGAAAGAAGACATTGATTCTGATCTTCCCTTATATAAATTTCCCATAATTATCTCTACGTCTCCAATATTATAACGCTCTTCTGATTTGAATTGACACATTTGATTTACTATACCCTTCCAACGTTGATATTCTATTGGTAACTTTGGCATTGTTTCTTGATTACCTTTTTGTAAATGATTATGAAGATTTTTAATTGAAACTTTTTTAAATGGCAAATTTCCTGCTTCACACCAAGCGATTTCCCAAAATAATAATCCTAAACTATATATATCAGATGATGCAACAAGACTTTCTCTATTTAATAACCTATCCGGATCATACCATCTTTTCCAAACTTTGTCTTTAGGTGAAATTGTTATTTTTGGATACACAAAAGTTTTGTTATCGCATAAGTTTATGCTCCACAAAAAATTGGAAATTTTTGGTTTTAATGTTTTTCTTACTTCGTCTTGTTCAAGTAAAATATTTGCACTTCGAAGGTCCAAATGTAAAATTTTTTTCTATAAAAAAAGAAGATATATATGATTAATTTCGTGTAAATGTTTGAAAAGAAAATTTTGATACTATAACGTTTAATCCTTACATTATGTAAATATTTTACGCCTTGAGATATATCCCATGCTAATTTGATTTTATCTTTACCATCTTTCAGGAGATTCAATGACTTATGATTAGATTGGAAATATGTGAAGAGGTCATCATATTTTGCGTAATCATAAAACAACATTAGTTTACAGTTGGAAACTGTATAACCATGAAATTTAATTATATAATCATTATTATTCAGTTGATGTTTATGGTAAAGATAAATCTCTTTCTCGATGCATAAAAAAGTATCATTGTTATTTAGGTGTTTTAACGATTTTCCCACGACAATCTTATCATTTAAAGAACGGTTTGTCGTTTTGTAAAAATCCCCTTCAATTACTACTTCCTCAGAAACTCTACTCACTTGATTTGCAATATAATACCATTTAGATAAATCTTTATCACTAATTATATTTAAATTATCATCAACATTTACGTTAATATGAGGATCATTAGCGAAACTATCTAATTCATCTTGTATCTGTCTCTTATACACATCTAGATGTGTATAAGAGACAGGTTTATGCTATATAAAAAATAAATAAAAAAAAAAAGTATTAACTAAAAGAAAATCATCTTTGGTTTATCATTAAATAGGAAAATTATATTAACCTTTTAATTTCGAATAAGTCATTATACAAAAATGACACTTGCATTGTTTTTGAACCGACTGTAGAATCATGTTTTACTAAATAATAAAAAAAAAAAGAAAGGAATTAGAAATTATTCTAATTATTCTAATTATTATTTTTTTTAAGAGAACAACTTACCAATACAATAACGTACAATCGATCTTAGAAAATGAATATACATGTATTGTTGATTTTCTAAGATACTTATAAATTTAACTTTTTGAATTTCATCATACCAAATTGGACATAAAAGTCTAAAACTATTTACATGTCCATGCATTTTCTGTGCAATTTCCCTAATATCATCAGTTCTAAAATGTCGTCTTCTAGATGCATCTGCGTTATCTATTACTTCGAAAAGTATTTGGCATATATGATCTAATTGTTGTGATGGATCTAAGTATAATTTTTTACCATCACCTACTACTTCCACGATTAAGGTATCAGTAGAAGAAGCCGGAGAAACCGGAGTAACAGGAAAAACAGGGAAAGTAGGTAATGGAAGTTTTGGTAGTTGTTTGTTTAAATTCTTTAATTTCGAAGGATAGGTCCTTGATAAAACACGTGGACATTCTCGGGGTGATGATGGAGGAGAATCAGAAGCAACTGGGTCAATTTGTTTAACACTGTATCCATCCCTATGTTCTTCACATAACCATAATATTTCTCCAGTTTCTTCTTCAACACATTGTACTAATCCACCAAAATGACCCGCATTTTCCTGTGTATCGAGAAAATCTAAAAGAAAAAAAAATTACAATCTATATGAAAAGGTGACCAAAAAAAAAAAAAAACAATTTACATACTTTTGAGTTCGCGAAGTCCTGATTCATTTATCATTTTATAGGGAATGACACCCTCATTGTTTAAAGGATTAAAATCAGGACGTTTATCGCATATAGTTTTTACGCCACTATCAACTGTATTAATAATTTCTTGAATATGTTGCATAAAGTCAGAATTATCAGCTAGATTAAATATCGTCGATAGAAAATCAGCAACACCGTTTGGAAGTAAATTCGACGTCATAATTCCCACAGCGCTAAACAATACTTTTAAGCTATCGTCAAATTTTACAAAATATCAGTTATATAATGATGATGACGAGGATAAATAATATAAATTATGAAATTGTTTTCTTGATAGATTACCAGAGATTTATCCAAGGTCCATATTTTTTAATAAATTGAGGAATCTTAAGAACTTTATAGCCTTTTTGATCCGGAACGTGCCATTGATCTTTGTGTTCGCAAACAAATAAAAGACGAAATGGTTTTGACAACATCCATGTTCTACAATCGAATAAATGCAATGTTAAAAATAAAATAACGGTTAAATTAAATATTTTAAAAGAAATGTCACATACGTTGGTCTTTTCCAATCTTTATCATCAGGAACCATAACAAACACTCTTGGAACCTTTTCATTATTAACTTTGACCAACTTATTATTTTTTAAAGAAAGGATTTATTAAATTAATGAATTGAATTATGAAATTTAAAAAATTATTTACCCATTGTGGAATTTTCTTAGTTAAGTCCTTTAGGTCATTCGTACAATCATCAATTTTACTACCCATCATTTCTAAGTTTTTTTTCATTTCGTTGTGATAATTTTCAAAAAAAGGTTTAAATGTTCTCTAAAATGAAGTTTTTTTTTCACAATTAAACTTTGAAGAAATATCCTAGAGAGTAATAATTTAAAAAACTTTCAATTCCTACATATAATCGATATTCTTCTTCTCTCATTCCACTTATATAATTAGAATCAAGATTCATTGGTTCTAAATATAAATCCAGTTAATATCAGACCTGATAAAAAATTACCCTTTCTTATTATATATATTTACCTGCCAAGACTGCCGTTTGATTTGTATTATATATTCTATACATGTTTTTGTTTTCTATATGTTTAGCAAATTTCTTTTTAATACGTAAATATTCATTTCATCATTCCATCTATTTTTTCTACCTGCTACTCCGGTATAATATGTTGATTGCTATCAAAATAGTAATAATTAATTAGAATATGATAATTTTTAGCCAATAAAAAAAAGGAGAATTAAAATCATTAAATAATTCGTATTTACCATAAATTTTTGCAGTGACATTCTACTTAAAATAGTTTCACTAAGTAGTTCTTTAATAATAAAACAGGCAGTAGGATCTTGAACATCAATTATCAAGCGCTTTGTTGATATCATTTCTTCTTTCGTTATTTCATTCTCTCCATCCCAATAGTGATGACCTAATTAAAATTATTTGGTTATTATAATAAAATCTTTTAGAATTTTACTGCGCCATCAAAAATAAAATGTACCGGTTTCAAGAAAATATAAAACGAGTCCAAAAGAAAACATGTCCATCGCAAAATTTGCTTTAATTTCCGTTTTATTTTCGTGCGATCTTATAATTTCAGGGGCTGAATAATTTGTTATAATTTTTACATCATCTTTATCAACAATACATGCTGAGTCAAAATCAATTAGTTTCCATCTTTCGTCATAATCATCTTTATTTTTAAAGTACATTATATTTTTCGGTGATAATTCAGTATGTACTACATTAAGATAAACCAAGAGTGTTGTCAATTAAAAATAAATTGCTATGAATAGATGATAGACGATAGTAAAATTACCTACCTATGTTATGCTTTTGAAGTTCCAAGAGGCCCGAAACAATATCCTAATAAAAATTTGTAAATTTTTAAGAAAATAATGAATTTTGTAGAAATAATAATAAAATTAATTTACCTTTACTATTTCATCTTTCTCTTTATGTCGCTGACTATAATCCTGATGACCTAAAAATATTTCCAAGTCATATAAAGCACATTCGCAAACGATAATTGATTGCTGTGGGTAAATGTCTATCATTCGCATAATATTCTATATTTAAAACAAAATTATATTAATTTTTTTTTTCTGAATGGAATTCTTCATACATAAAAATAAATTACCTTTACATCCTTTAACATTTCTAACATCTGTGACTCTATTTCGAATGCTTCTCTTGTTTTATAAGATTTTATCATATAAGGAACTCTTGATTTATCATTATCCACTTCATAGGCTTTATAAACGTTAAGATCTTTACCGTATCGGAAATTTCTTATAATTTTATATCGTTCTATTAAAATAATTTTATTTAATTCATGTTACGCGATTGTTACTCAATTCATTAGAGAGATTACCTCCAACTTTACCCTCAAGCTTGTCTCTTAAATTATTATGCATGTTTAAAGAATTTTTTTTTTGTTAAAAAAAAAAGTGAGGGTAATAATAAATTCAATCGAAAGAAGTAAGATATACAATTTACTGTTCCACATAAAAGAACAATTCATTGAGAAAATTCTATTCCTGACAAATCCTAGTAAAGTAATATATTTACAATAAAACCAAAAGATCGTTTTAAATTCCATATTCATATGTTTACTATGTTTCGAATGAATCAAATATTGTCACTGCCAAAACCATTTTTCATTTAGAGGTACATTATAGGTTTAGTTCAATGCAGTTGCAACACTATCATGTAAATATGCATTCCTTAAATTTTTTTTTTGCATGATAAGCAAAATTGGTTTCGTTCCTTGCATATTTTGGGTATTGCGCCGAAAAATTATTATACGCCAAGAATTAATTTTATAGCATTTCCCAGTGCAAAAATTCCCCATATTAAATCGATCTAACAGCCGTGCCCGTGTAAATAATAATTTCCACATAGTTTGAAATTTTCCTAGTTAAAGTCTCTACGGATTATCAATTTTAAGTACGGCGGGTGTATACGTTATGATGTTCAGAGCGACACATTATTTTTTTACACAGTCATCTCTTATCTTAGATCTTTGAAAAAATGACGAAGAGCAAGGAAATTCACAACACAAATCTATAATATGTGTATGTATGTTTGTGTGTATATATCGTACAATTCCAGAGAAAATTTTTTTTTTTATTTCGTTATAATGTTATAGATACATATATTATATGAAAACCAATTATGATAAAAATAAGATAAAATAAATCTTTAAAATAATAATTTTGACTTAATAGTAAGTCGCATCAGTTGAGATAGAAGACATTGATCCTGATCTTCCCTTATATAAATTTCTCATAATTATCTCTACACTTCCAATATCATTACGTTCTCCTGATTTGAATTGACACATTTTGTTTACTATATCCTTCCAACGTTGATATTCTATTGGTAACTTTGGCATTGTTTCTTGATTATTTTTTCTGTAAATGATTATAAAGATTTTTAATTGAAACTTTTTTAAATGGCAAATTTCCTGCTTTACATCAAGCGATTTCCCAAAATAATAATCCTAAACTATATATATCAGATGTCATGCAACAAGACTTTATTTAATAATCTTTCCGGGTCATACCATCTTTTCCAAACTTTTTCTTTGGATTTTATTTTTGGACAAACAAAAGTTTTGTTATCGTGTAAGTTTCTGCTCCACAGAAAATTAGATATTTTGGTATTAAAGTTTTCCTTATTCCGTCTTGTTCAAGTAAAATATTTGCACTTCGAAGGTCCAAATGTAAAATTTTTTGCTGAAAAAAGAAATATTATTATTATATTAAAAATATGTAAAATTTTTGAAAAGAATTCGATGTACGGCATTTTTAAATTCTTACATTATGCAAATATTTTATGCCCTGAGTTATTTCCCATGCTAATTTGATTTTATCTCTCCAATCTTTCAAGAGGTTCGATGATCTATGATTTACTTGGAAATATGCGAAGAGGTCTCCATATTCTGCATGATCATAAAACAATATCGGTTTACAACTGTAAACTGAATAACCATGAAATTTAATTATATAGTCATGATTATTCAATTGATGTTCATGGTAAAGATAAATCTCTTTCTCGATACATAAAAAACTATTATTGTTAGTAAGGTGTTTTAGTTATTTTCCCGCGACAACCTTATTGTTTAAAGATCGTATTGTCGTTTTGAAAAATTCCCCATCAATTTCTGTCGGAGAAATACTACATACTTGACTTGATCTTTTAGATAAAATTTTATCGCTAATTATATTTAAATTATCACCAACATTTACTTTAAGATCTGGTTCATTAGCGAAATTATCTAATTCAGTTTGAATTACGGAATTTCTGTGGAAGTCATGCTCCGGTAATTCCAAAGCTTCTATTAATTTTGATAAATATTCATTGAATAATCTTCCGGCTTTAATTATGCTACACATAAAATCGAGTTTTGCTAACTTGCCCCCGGGTTAAATAACCCAGGTTAAATCACCCCCCCCCCTAAAAATTTATATTTTACACCAATCAATTTTGATTGGTTAATTTAATTTATCTACGTTACTGAAAATTTGCAACACTTTTATTCGCAAAAATTTTTTTGTTTAAAAACATTTAATCAAAGTTTATTAATTAGAAAAAACTCATACTTTATTTATTTTTAACAGGACTAGTAATTATGGTACATATACACAAAAAAATACATGACAATAACAAAGCAAACAAAAGAACAAAGCTATAAGAATAAAGAATGAAACTCATGTAAAAAGTTAAAGAATGAAATGATGATGAAACCTATGAAATCAAAAAGTAAAATTCGTGACAGAAAAGTAAAACATATTAAGTCAAAGAGCAGTATAGAGTAAAGAAAAGATAGTTAGTAAAGAATAAAAATTAGAAAATAAGCAAGAACCTAAATATTAAAGAATAAAAAAAGATACCCATCACAAAGAAAAAAGAAAAAATCCCCATAATTAAGTTTAAGAGTGAACCCAAAAAAAGTTAATGACCAAATAAAAGCAAGTTAAGAGCAAAACGCGTCATATAATGTTGAAGAGAAAGGAGTTAAAGAATGGCATAAAGAAAAGAAAATATAGTTAGTAAGGAACAAAATTAAAAAACAAAACCAATAAAAAAAGAGAACGTACCTTTTTAACACGTTAAGATATAATATTGTATTAGAAATTGTAAAATCTGGAAGAGCCTAAAAAAATGTACTAAAGAAAAAAAAAGAAAGCAGATAAAAATAATAAACAAAAAAAGGAAATGGAATGGGAAAAGGAAGGAAAATAAAACGAAACAGAGAGAAAAGAAAAAAAACAAGGGGGAAGGAAAAAACGAAAAAAATAATATAAACATATGGTGTAACTACAAATATTAATCAAATTTATCACATGATAGGGGTGAATAATTCATATAATTATATGAAATTTACTAGTAAATTAAATCACCCAGGTTAAATCACCCTGGGTTAAAATTAGTCTTATACAATATTAAATAATAAGAGGAAAAATTCAAACACATATCAACTATTGTAAATTCAATTTAGTTTACAAGTTGAAATACTTCATATTCTTCCACAGAAAATATATCATCAGATTCTCTGATATGCTTTTCGTAATCAGCACCATTACAACAACCGGTATCTCCATATAAATCTAGATCACAGATACCAAATGTTGGACCAAAATCACTACGGTTATACGTGGCATGATTTTCACGTTCTACACGACTTAAAATATAACTTTCAATATCAACACTATTCTCAAAAGAGAATATAAAGCTATCTTTAGTAGTACCAAAATTTTCTTCATCTAATTCATCATCAGATTCATCAGATTCATCAAATTCATTAGATTCCCACGCAATTGGATTATATCCTCCAAGAATTTCATTACTATCTTTCACTTTGATAATTGTTATAGTACGAAATTGATTATCACAGATTTCATGAAATGTTTTAGGTGTAAACCCATCACGAGATCCACGAAGTAACAATTGGAATTTGTACGCTTTTTCTATCTCATCTGTAATTTCTAATCTATCGATCCATTTTGAAATTAATTCGGCATGTTGAATTGTAATAATTTTGGAATTAATATAAATTTCATTAGCAGTCGTCATACGAGGTTTTGGTTTTTTATTAGGATTCATAAAATATTTTAATAAGTCTTCATATAATAAATCCTTTGGTAAAATTTTCCTGTAAGGTAATACNAGGAATTCCAAGGCGTTATGCTGCTAATTAGTAGAATATCGCTACATCTTTATTTATTATACCTCGCTCCGGACTTACAACGGTTCCCGTTTCCTAGTTATATAAAATTTACTAGTACTAGGTTAAATCACCCCGGGTTAAAATTAGTCTTATACATTTAAAATATATTTATTTAATCGAAAATATGATAATAATAAAGGCAATAATTATGCTGGTAATATGTATACCATTTTTAAAATTGAATGCAACAAATTCAAAAGTAATTGACATTTATAAAATTTTTTTTATTATCTTGATTCTTGAATACTTTTTGGTTAAAATGTAGAATATGAAGTATTGCGTTATTGTTTTTTATTATGAGAAAGAAGAATTAAATTGGGAGAATTTAATCCCATGTACTCATTTGTGATAATGTTTCTAAAATCATTCAAATAAATGTACATATATAGTATTGTATATTTAATAAATATATATTACACGATTTTTTTTTTAAAAAAAAATAAATAATGGTTAAAAAACAAAATAAATTAAATAAATGTATCTAATAATATTTAGGTCTCAGTATCTTTAAATTGAGAGATAGAAAATTGAGGCAACTGTTCTGATTTAAAAGATTGAAGAGTTGAGACAGAAGACTGTGATTCTGATCTTCTTTTATATAATTTTCCCATGATTATCTCTACACTTCCAATATTACACCGTTCTTCTGCTTTTAAGTGACACATTTTTTTTACTATATTTTCCCAACGTTGATATTCTTTTGGTAACTCTGGCATTTTTTCTTGATTATTTTTATGTAAATAACTATAAAGATATTTAATTTGAATTCCTTTAAATGGTAAATTTTCTTTCTCACAACAAGCGATTTCCCAAAATAATAATCCTAAACTATATATATCGGATGATGATGTAATATTTTCTTCATTAAGCAATCTATCCGGATCATGCCATCTTTTCCAAATTTTTTCTTTAGATGCTATTTTTGGATACACGAAAGTTTTGTTATCACATGTGTCTCTACTCCACAGGAAATTAGATATTGTTGGTATCAACTCCCCCATTTCATCTTCTTTCAGTAAAATATTTGCACTTCGAAGGTCCAAATGTAAAATTTTTTGCTGTAAAAAAAAAATATAAATATTATTATTAATAAATTGTACGTAAATTTTGAAAAGAATTTGATGTATCCGTTTTAAATTCTTACATTATGCAAAAATTTTACGCCCTGAGTTATTTCCCATGCTAATTTAATTTTTTTCCCCCAATCTTTCAGGAGATTTCTTGATGAATCATGATTTACTTGAATATATGTGTAGAGATCACCATGTTCCGCATAATCATAAAACAACACTGGTTTACAATTAGAAACTGAATAACCATGAAATTTGATTATAAAATCATTATTATTCAAATTATGTTCATGGTAAAGATAAATTTCTTTCTCGATACACGAAAAAGTTTCATTATTATTTAAGTTTTTTAACGATTTCCCCGCGACAATCTTATCATCTAAAAATCGTGGTGTTGTGTTGAAAAGTTCTCCTTGGTTTTCAGTTTCTGTCGGAGTTTCTATAAATGTTTGATTTGCTATATGATACCATTTAGATAAAACTTTATCACTAATTATATTTAAATTATCATACACATTTACTTTAAGTTGAGGCTCATTAGCGAAACTATCTAATGCAATTTGTATTGCGGAATTCTTGTGAATGTCAGATCGCGATAATTTCAAAGTTTCTATCAATTTTGACAAATGTTCATTGAATGATTTTCCGGCTTTAATTATGCTATATAAAATAAATCAAAAAAAAAGTATTAACTAAAAAGAAAATCATCTTTGGTTTATCATTAAATAAAAAATTATATTAACCTTCTAATTTCGAATAAGTCATTATACAAAAATGACGCTTGCATTGTTTTTGAACCGACTGTAGAATCATGTTTTACTAAATAAAAGAAAGGAATTAGAAATTATTCTAATTATTCTAATTATTATTTTTTTAAGAGAACAACTTACCAATACAATAACGTACAATCGATCTTAGAAAATGAATATACATGTATTGTTGATTTTCTAAGATACTTATAAATTTAACCTTTTGAATTTCATCATACCAAATTGGACTTAAAAGTCTAAAACTATTTACATGTCCACGCATTTTCTGTGCAATTTCCCTAATATCATCGGTTCTAAAATGTCGTCTTCTAGATGCATCTGCGTTATCTATTACTTCGAAAAGTATTTGGCATATATTTTCTAATTGTTGTGTTGGATCTAAGTATAATTTTTTACCATCACCATCTGCTTCCACGAATAAAGTATCAGTAGAAGAAGCCGGAGAAACCGGAGAAACAGGAAAAACAGGAGAAGTAGGTAATGGAAGTTTTGGTAGTTGTTTGTTTATATTCTTTAATCTCGTAGGATGAGGTCTTGATAAAACACGTGGTGGACATTCTCGAGGTGATGTTGGAGGAGAATCCGAAACAACTGGGTCAGTTCGTTTAACACTATATCCATCTCTATGTTCTTCACATAACCATAATATTTCTCCAGTTTCTTCTTCAACACATTGTACTAATCCACCAAAATGACCCGCATTTTCCTGTGTATCGAGAAAATCTAAAAGAAAAAAAAATTATAATCTATATGAAAAGGTGACCAAAAAAAAAAACAATTTACATACTTTTGAGTTCGCGAAGTCCTGATTCATTTATTATTTTATAGGGAGTGTTACTCTCATTATTCAAAGGATTAAAGTTAGGTAGTTCATCGCATATAGTTTTTACACCACTATCAACTGTATCAATAATTTCTTGAATATGTTGTATAATGTCAGAATTATCAGCTAGATTAAATATCGTCGATAGAAAATCAGCAACACCGTCGGCAAATAAATTTGATGCCATAATTCCCACAGCGCTAGATAGTACTTTTAAGCTATCGTCAAATTTACAAAATATCAGTTATATAATGATGATGATGAGGATAAATTATATAAATTATGAAATTATTTTGTTGATAGATTACCAGAGATTTATCCAAGGTCCATATTTTTTAATAAATTGAGGAATTTTAAGAACTTTATAGCCTTTTTGTTTTGGAAGGTGCCATTGATCTTTGTGTTCGCAAACAAATAAAAGACGAAATGGTTTTGCCAACATCCATGTTCTATAATCGAATAAATGCAAATGTTAAAATAAAATAACGGTTAAATTAAATAATTTAAAAGAAAATATCACATACGTTGGTTTTTTCCAATCTTTTTCATCAGGGAATATAACAAACACTCTTGGAACTTTTTCATTTTTAACTTTGACCAACTTATTATTTTTTTTAAAGAAAGGATTAATTAAATTAATGAAATAAATAAATGAATTATGAAATTTAAAAAATTACTTACCCATTGTGGAATTTTCTTAGTTAAGTCCTTTACGGCATCCGTACAATTATCAATTTTACTACCCATCTCTTCTAAGTTTTTTTTCATTTCGTTGTGATAACTTTCAAAAAAAGGTTTAAATGCTCTCTAAAATGAAGTTTTTTTTTCACAATTAAATTTTGAAGAAATATCTTAGAGAGTAATAATTTAAAAAACTTTCAATTCCTACATATAATCGATATTCTTCTTCGCTCATTCCACTTATATAATTAGAATCAAGATTCATTGGTTCTAAATATAAATCCAGTTAATACTTAATATCAGACCTGATAAAAAATTACCCTTACTTATTATATATATATTTACCTTCCAAGACTGCTTTATCAAAGATAACATTATGCGTTTGATTTGTATTATGTATTCTATGTATGTTTTTGTTTTCTATATGTTTAACAAATTTTCTTTTTAATACGTCTGATCAACTAAATATTCATTTCATATTTTCATCTATTTTTCTTACCTGTTTCTGTTTCTCCGGTATAATATGTTGATTGCTATCAAAATAGTAATAATTAATTAGAATATGATAATTTTTTAGCCAATAAAAAAAAAGGAGAATTAAAATCATTAAATAATTCGTATAATTTACCACAAATTTCTGCAGTGACATTCTACTTAAAATAGTTTTACTAAGTAGTTCTTTTATAATAAAACAGGCAGTAGGATCTTGAACATCAATTATCAAGTGTTTCGTTGATATCAATTCTTCTTTCATTATTTCATTCTCTCCATCCCAATAGTGATGACCTAATTAAAATTATTTGGTTATTATAATAAGATCTTTTTAGAATTTTACTGCGCCATCAAAAATGTACCTGTTTCAAGAAAATATAAAACGAGTCCAAAAGAAAACATGTCCATCGCAAAATTTGCTTTAATTTCTGTTTTATTTTCGTGCGATCTTATAATTTCAGGGGCTGAATAATTTGTTATAATTTTTACATCATCTTTATCAACAATACATGCAGAGTCAAAATCAATTAGCTTCCATCTTTCGTCACAATCATCTTTATTTTTAAAGTACATTATATTTTTCGGTGATAATTCAGTATGTACTACATTAAGATAAACCAAGAAGTGTTTGTCAATTAAAAATAAATTACTATGAATAGATGATAGACGATAGTAAAATTACTACCTATGTTATGCTTTTGAAGTTCCGAGAGACCCGAAACAATATCCTAATAAAAATTTGTAAATTTTTTAAAAAATAATGAAGTTTAATATAAATAATAATAAAATTAATTTACCTTTACTATTTCATCTTTCTCTTTATGTCGCTGACCATAATCCTGGTGACCTAAAAATGTTTCTAAGTCATATAAAGCACATTCGCAAATGATAATTGATTGTTGTGGGTAAATGTCTATCATCTGCATAATATTCTATAAAATAAAATTATATTAATTTTTTTTTCTGGATGGGATTCTACATACATAAAAATAAATTACCTTTACATCCTTTAACATTTTTAACATCTGTGACTCTATTTTGAATGCTTCTATTGTATCATAACACTTTACTACATAAGGAATCCTTGATTTATTATTAACCACTTTATGGGCTTTATAAACGTTAAGGTTATTTCCGTATCGACAATTTCTTATAATTTTATATCGTTCTGATTTAAACAATTTAATTTAATCAATAGCACGTGATTATAAATCAATTAATTAAAGATAAATTACCTCCAATTTCACCCCCAAATTCGGTTTTTAAATTATTATTATTATGCATATTTTAAGAAATTTTTTTTCCTTGAAGGCTTTAAAAAAAAAAATGAAAAAAAGAGGGAACAATATTAAAAATAACGGAAAAAAAAAAAATATATTCTTAAATATATCTTATATAAAACGGTGTAACTTTTTTATTTTGTTTATTGTCCCACATAACATGATGAAAGAAAACAATGTCCCCATTTGACAATGGTATGGAAGATGAAACTTTATAAAGAAACTTATATCTGTCTCTTATACACATCTAGATGTGTATAAGAGACAGCCTCATGAGTTCGATTAGGGGTTTTGAATTAAAAATTTCTCTTTCATGATCCCAGTAAAGCAATTTATAATATATTAATGTATTTTAAATTGTATAGGATTAACCAAATGATCGAGATCTCTCATCGTCAGAGGATTTTATATAAAATTATCTATTTTATTTTAAAAACTATCAACGAGTGAATTAGAAATTTTAAATTAATATATTGTAAACAAAAAATTCTTTATTAAATTGGCCATTGTATTAAAATTTCATTTAAAAATACATTATAGGTTTAGTTCAAACGCAGCGACACCATGCAAATATGCATTATGCCGTAATATGAAATGCATGATAAGAAAATTGATTTGTACATTACAGATTTTGACAAGGAAAAAAAAAATGATAGTTTGGCCTGGGGTCCCCACTCCCCAGTGTAAAAAATCTTACATATTTTATTACAACAATATCTGTGCGAAAGATATTAAATTCAAAGTTTAAATACTAGAATTTAAATCTGTGAAAGGTATTAAATTCAAAGTTTAAATACTAAAAGATGTATACGCATGCCCATATATACATATTTTTGTGTGTGTGAGAGATGATAAGCAAATATAAATATGACGTAAAAAGTTCGTGAAATACTCCGCAGTACATATTCATATTAATCATCTGCTATTTTAGTGTTTGTAACACAAGAATAAATATTCTCATTTCATATGTTATATGCATATATTCCTAAAAAAAAAAATAAAACGAAGGATTCCAATTTAGATAATTTAGATGTAATTATTTTTAAAGAGAACATCATAATACCTTTTTAATATAAATAAGGAAAAACTTACCAAATCCGATTATTGAAATTCCGAAAAGTATAAGTAAACTAATGACAAATATCAGCCAAAATTTTTTACTAAATTTATTCTCATTTTCATCAATCCAAGGCATTTTCAATATTTCTTTAAATGTTTTATTATTACTATGTGTAGAAAATGTTTCTTGTTCATCTTTTAAATCATTCGATAATTGAGAAGGTAAAGGCATAACAATTTTTATATGTTGTGGTTCTTCATTTTCAGGACTGACTAATTTATACTTTGATGAAAGTTTAGCTCTTATACTTTCTCTCTTAAATTCTCCTGATAAACGTCCAATCTTTGAAGAACGACGTAATTGACTTCCAGTTGGAGGTGGTGGTGTAGAATTAAAACCATCACCATTTGGAAGCATGAACATTCTTGTTGGTGTATCTGAAGAATATCTTCTTCCTCCAATTGCTATTGTAGCATTTTCAGGTTCTGTTGGTACTGAAGTATATGACATTATTATTAATTTATCTTTAGAAAACCTTTTGTATAATATATTTTTAATATATTAGGGAACAAATTAAAATTATGATGATGATAAATAAGTAAATTATTCCGTAAAGTTGTCATTTAAATAAAGAGAAAAAAGGAGAATTCCCGTTAAAGAATATAATAAGGTTTTTATTACCAAATGCAAGGGGAATCCTTTTTTTTTTTTTTATTTTTATTTTTGACAAAATTTCTGCAAAGTTACGCAAAGGGGTTGCCATAAATTTAACTAAACAGAGAAAAAATTCATTTCTAAAAATAGTAAACAGGCATAATTTTAACTCAATATGTTTCACAATGAACATGTGATTTATTGTGATTTGTTGTGATTTGAAGAATGACGTTATATGACAATAATTTGCGGCGCGCGCAGTACAATTATTTTAAACGCCATCTATCGATCGATTATTTCGTCATCAACTATACCAAATCCCAAATGATGAAGTGAGGAAATTGAAATATGATCTGACGAATGATTACCATATTAGCTACTTATTGAAATGCGACATCTCCCTTCAAAAAATAAATGTTAGATTATCTGTCGGGATGATAGATAGATTTAAAACACACTTCCGAATATTTATATAAATAGTTAAAATTCTTGTCATCAGATAGAATTAAAGAATTTTCCCAACTTATTTTATATATTTTCCGGGTTTTAATATTTGTGGGAAAAAATTATGTGTTATATATATTTAATTTCATCGTGATAACATATTACTATTATACTATAAACTATTTTAAAAGTATATGCAAGTCTTTAATTTTCTGGAGTTAAATTTAAGCTTTATATCACTAATATAAACTTGGAGATTCCGATTAATAGACAATTCTAGATAGAACATTTTATCTATTGATTATGTGAAATACACGTGAATCAAACGTTTTTTTTCCGTGAAATTTTCTTTTATATTTTCACGAGTTGAGATTCACGTAAAATAACTAAATATGAACTTTCCCATCTTTAAATTAAGTTCCAGTAAAAAAAGATTAACTGTTAACATCCGAATTAGGAAAACAAATCAAGTTTATATAAATATATAACGAGATAGATCGGATAGATCGTCACTTTTTAACGTGGTGAATCACGCGACTAATGTATGAAATTTATGAAATTAAAGTTTATTACGCGTTAATTTCTTTTGAAAATTACAATAAATTGCAAATTACTTGAAAAGAGAGTAATACGATAAGAAAAAAAAAAAAGCTCTTAAACTTCAGAACTTCCAAACTTCCAAACTTCCAAACTTTAAAACTTCCAAACTCTATTTTCAATATAGCCTAAACTTATTCGATTTTCGTTATGTATCTCTCCTATAAATATATATATATAAGGAAATTTCTCATGATCTTGATCAATGAATTAAAAATTTTGTACTTTATTATTTACAAAAAAAAAAATCGGATTTATTCCCGATTAAAAAAAAAATGTAAAAATGTAAATTTCTAATATTTCTAATATTACATTGCACCTAAATAAAATGTGATTTCAAATTTGTAATAGAACACAAATAATTTTTCTGATCGAAAAGGATTATAAATACGTAGATCGTCATTTGTCGATCACAACAATTATATTATCTAGGGGGGCCGAAATGACGACAGGTCATGGATTTTGAAAATCTCCATAAAAAAAAACTGATGTGCAATGAAGTAATATTTTAGGGGGAAATCTTTGTTGCATATCTTATAAAATGATTGGTTGCACGTGATTAAGGTGGTAGTAATAGAAATGATGTCACTATAATTTTAAAAAAGGCATAAAACCCGAAGAAATTAATTTTGACCAATCATATTTTATTTCGCATAATTTGTACATATTTATCTTACATACTCTGTTTTTAAAATAGAGAGAATAGAGAAAGAAAAATACACATAATATATATAATACACATAATTACACATAATTACACATAATACACATAATACACATAATACACATAATACACCATAATACACATAATGATACAAAAAAAAAAAAAATAATTTACATATAAATACAGATCTTAAAAGAGATATAGCATAGATTAACATTAACATATTTTTTTTTGAGCCCAAAATCGGTAACTTTTATCATATCCTTTGTTCTTGGCAATATCATCGATTGCAACATCAACTAAATAATCATATTCACCTTCATTAAATTGAATTTCTGATATTGCATTTGATAAATTTTTTGCACCCCATATTATCATTTTTCCATAAGCTTCATATATTTTTCCACCCCAAGAAATTTTTGCTTCTCTTTCATCACATTTAATATTAGTCAATTTATCATTTGTATATAAAAATCTTGGAATATGTGGAGTTATAATAAGTTCAATTCCTTTTTCTTCTCTCAGTTTATCGACGACTAATAAAAAAAAAAGATAAATAATTTTAAAAATTTAAATAAATTATATAAAAAATAAAATTTTAAAAAAAAATTAAAAATCAATTTACTTCTTGTTCTCCAATTCCGAACTATTTCTGTCTCATTATACCAAAGTATATCTCTTTCCATTATTTCGATCCATCCATCTGGTTTACATACTCGAACTAATTCGTCTATTGCTTCAGGCCAATCATCCATTGTAATAGCAAACATCATGAATCGCATATAAACGAAATCAAATGTATTATCTTCAAAAGGTAGCCTTTTAACCTCTCCAGTAAAAAAATTCGTGTTTTCGGGTTTTATCTGAATAAATATTTTTTGTTAGTAAAAATAATTAAATTATGCGGATTGCGGATTTCAAAAAGTAAATTAATTTTATTTACCGTTTGAGGAAAATTAGCGACAATATCTATTCCCGTGAAAGTACTTTCTCTGTACTTATCAGCCATCTCTAAAACCCAGACACCGGGACCACACCTAGAAAATATATAAAAAATGTTAAATATAACACACACACATATATATATATATGCACATGTATAAAATATAGCATATATTGACTTACCCAACATCCAATACTTTAGCACCACTTTTCAATAAATCTTTTACAGGAGAAGAAAAATTGGATTCCCATATATGTTGAAAGATATAATGTTGTACTGTTAATCGATCAACTTCATCATTATCAGAAGGGAAAATATAAGAAGCATAATATTTTCTTTTATTAATACATTCATGTATGTATTCATCTCGACTACCCCTCCTGAATCTTGGTAACGGTACTTTTGAATGAGATTTACCCATTTTTTAAATTTCAATTGAATTTCCGTTAAAATTTTCGTGAGAGAGATAAGAGGAGATATTTGAAAGTTTATATAAAACTTTTTTTAGGGGAATTCATGAAAATTTAGATAATATATTTTTTTCCCTCAACTAAATCTCAAAAGTAAAAGCAAAGTTCCCATATTTATAAGAAAAAAAAATTTAATATTGAAGATCAATTTAATTTTTCTATTTTTAAATGATAATTGAAGTACTTTTAACCATAAAGGAGAAACATATTTTTTAAAGATCAGCTGCCGAAACAATTATGCTTACAATATTGTTTTAGTTATTATTTTAGGTAATGTGTCCTTTTAAGTAAAATGATTAACGTCAATCTTATGGGGATGATGTGAAGAATGAAAGTCACGAAAAAAAAGAGGAACCTTTACCTGCTAATTATCGTCAGTACCGTGTGATAAAATGATCATAGCTTTTGAAAAATTTTTATTTTATATAATTTATATAAATTCATATTTCTCGAATATTACATGTGAATCTCACTTTATTTTCTTCTTTTTGAGTGTTAGGGGACGTGAAATTTTTCTCATACCCTTAAAGTGATATTCCTTTACATAACTAACCAGATTGGTAATTTTATGACATAATTTCATAAGAAATTTAGTGAATATTTTATTAACGGATATTAACGTACGATTTATTTGTTTTTTTCACGTATCTTATTAATAAATACGAAATTCCCCACAATCTAGATCAACTGAATTAAGTTAGGATTAGAAGAATTATTAAAAATTGAAAATTACGCAAAACAAAGAGCGACAAATTATGTAATTCGGTAATTCCCGAGATGGATATAATACAATAAGCTTTTATTAAGATATGTATAACATGCTTAATAATTTATAACCGAAATTAGGGATATTTTATGAAATACCCTCTCAGATCTTAAGAATAATTAAAACTTTAATCAGTCTGATTTATTTGTATTGGTTTAAATTCCATCCAGTCGGGTTCATATCTGTTGAGTTTTATAATAATGTACACTTGTATTTTTTTATATAGTAAATAACTTACTATAGGCATAGAGTATAATAAAATGATAGTGATAATGAATTTTAATCTCCAGCTCATGGGATTGAGGGTGAAATGTAAATAAAAAAATTTTTCCGTAATTATAAGGCGGGGGGAAGGGGAAAGGTCCTTTTTTTTTTAAAAAAAAAACCGGTTTTCGGGATTCCTCGTTTTTATTTGGATTTTTTTTTAAAAAAAATACTTTTGGGGGAAGGAGGCGTAAAACCGGTTATTGATTATCATTATTCAGGGATATTGTTGAAACAGTTACGGTATTTTTAATATTTTTTAAATATTTATTCCTTTTATTGAAAGATTTACAAAAAAGATCCTAACTGGCCATTCCGCAAATGAAAGATTTTAAATCGATAATTCCATTCCATGGAATCCATGTCATTGTTCCTTTATTTCTGCCAAACCTAAAAAAGAAACTTTCCTCTTATATTTTTCATTGAGGCGAAATTTTGTGATTTTTTTAAAACTTAATAAAGTCTCTATCAAACTTTATATTATTATGTAAAAGATATGTAAATATAACGTAAGAAATTTGAAAATCATTTTCCATTGAACTAATTGGTTAAGAGAATATGACCTTAGATTTATTTATTTATTTTTTTTTTCTTTTTTTGAAATTTTATTTTTTCTTTTTTGTGTTTAATGATTTTACTTTTGTTTTTTTCCTGGAGAAAAAAAAAAAAAGAAAAAAAAAAAAGTTTCGAATAGAAAAATAGAAAAAAAAGTTGTACAAAAAAAATAAATAAAATAAAATAAATATAAATTGTGTATCCATAACAAATATTTATTATTATAAAAATTCGATAAAATTTCTCAATTTTCCAAATTTCTTATTTTCTTGGCTAACTTTTATTCCTTCCTTTTTTTTTTATTTTTTTATTTTTTTATATATATATTTTTTAAAAAATGAATAACGATAAGAATTGTGCGGAATCTTATAAGATTATGGGTGGTAGAAGATATCTTAGTGAAGAAAATACTAAATATTATTTACCAAATGATGAAATGGAAATTAGTAGAGTAAATTTAGAACATAAATTATTAAGATATATTTGGCAAGGAAATTTTTCATCAAATATTGAAGAAAGATTAATTAAAGGAAATACAAAAGTGATAGATTTAGGTTGTGGAACAGGTCAATGGGCAATTGATATGTCATCAAAATATCCATTATCAACTTTTATTGGTATAGATATTACTGCTTCATTATTCCCTTCAGATGATGAAAAACCTAATAATTTGGCATTTTTACAACATAATCTTATAGAAAATCCTGGAGTTCCTTTTCCAGATAGAATTTTCGATTTCACATATATGAGAAATTTAGCATTTGGTCTTAATGATTATAATGGCTGGTTTCATGTAATAAATGAAGCTGTTAGAGTAACTAATTTAAATGGATGTATTGAAATTATGAATTATGATTTATATAGAGATTTTACTAAGGAAATTCATGCAGGTCCTATATTTAGTAAATTACATGCTTCAAGTAAGTATAGTTCAATTGTAAAGTACCTTACCGGACAAGCTTACCCGTAAGATTTTCCTTAAAAAGATTCTTTCATTTACTATTTTCTTTTTCTTTTTTTCTTTTTTAGTGAACGAATTACATGAAAAGGATAACATAAAAATGCCTACAGCATCTGATGTAATGGAATATTTAAGGCGAACAAATCAAATTACTAATATACAAGTGGAAGAACAAGTAACTCCATTGGGTTCCTGGGGTGGTAAATTAGGAGAATTTGTAAGCATCTAATTATATTAAACTTAAAAATTTCATTATACTATAAAATATCATAAAATTCTAATATCTAATATCATTTTTTTTTCTAGATGTTACTAAATGTTACTATGACATTAAAAGGATTTAAAGTATTTTTACAACCATTAATGAATATATCGGGAGATGAATATGATAATCTGTTGAATGAGATAAGAAATGAGTGTGCAAAATATAAAACACGTTGTTTTACTTACAGAATATATGGAATCAAGTCTTAAAAAAAAAACTTGATAACTTTATTATTTATTTATTATTTATTTATTTATTTATACTTTCCTTTTTCTTTTTTCCTTTTTTTTTTCTTATCATTAAATCGGTATTCAATGTATCACATTTTTAAAATAATAATTTATATTATTTTATATTATTGGCTTATTCATGCAATTTGGCAAAAATACCGCACCATAAAATATTACCTTTATTATGTTTGGGCAAAAATGCCTCAAACTTAAATAATAAATAATCTGCGTGCATTATTGATGGCAAAAATCCCTCATGTAACCATTTTAGTATGTTTATAGTATTTCAACGCGCTTATATTATGCGTTTGTTTATTTAGATTTTGCGAGTATATTCTGTGGACAAAAGTCCTTTTATATATTTATAATCATTCAAATTTTCAAACTATTTTTACCGATCATCTTTTTTATTTGTGTAAGTGTAAGTAAACAACTTCCAAAAAGATTTAAATAGAACCAAAATCCCCTAAAAAAAAAAAAAAAAAAAAAAAAATTATTTAACCATATTNAAAAAAAAAAAAAAAATACAACAATAAAAACCATTACTATTATACCACCATATTACCTTTGAACGAAAGACAGAAAAAAACAATGGAGGATTTAACAGATGTGATAGTTATACCAGTTAAGGGGATGACGTGTAATTCATGCGTTAACTCCATATCAATTACTTTAAACAAATTATCAGGCGTATCAAAAGTAATTGTTAGTCTTGAAAATGAAGAAGCAACAATTACTTATGATTCAAATAAATTAACAAAATCAGAAATTATTGAAACAATTGAAAATTGTGGTTATGAAGCCATTGATCCTTCATTAAAAAAAAATAATATCATTACTTTGCCTGTTAAAGGTATGACTTGTAATAGTTGTGTTAATAGTATTAATTCTGTATTAAAATCTGCTGATGGTGTTATTAGTGTTGATGTTTCTTTAAAGGATGAACAAGTTAAAGTTGAATATGATACGATGAGAATAACTGAGGATAAAATTATCGAGGCTATTGAAAATTGTGGTTACGATGTACCTAAATCATCTTCATCTACTTCCAATACAACTTCCAATTCACCATCTTCACCATCACAAGCACAAGCACAATCATCATCATCATCATCATCAAGTCTTTCTTCTCCTAGAAATCCAACAAATTATGACGCATTAACCTTATCATCAATTAGTACTCATGATTTTGATCCTAACAAATTACGTGTATGCAAATTATCTGTTCATGGTATGACATGTGCATCTTGCGTACATAGTATAGAAAATGTTTTAAAAAGTGAAATCGGGATAACATCAGTTCAAATATCTTTAATAGTGGAAAGAGCGACCGTAGAATATGATCCTGCTATAATTAATGAACAAAAAATAGCAAATATGATAAATGATCTTGGTTTTGAAGCTGCTCCAATTCCGGAACAACGTGAAGATACCGTAGAATTACGTATTCATGGTATGAATATACCATCAGATGCTATTTCAATTGAACAAAAATTAGTACAAATTCCAGGAATAATTTCTGCTCCAATAAACTTTGAAAAATTTACAGCAAAAATTCAATTTGATAAGGAAGTGATCGGTTTACGTGATATAGTTTATAAAATTGAAGAAATGGGTTATAACGCTTTAATTAATGATGATAGTCATGATGTTCAATTAGAATCTTTATCACGTACAAAAGAAATTATTGAATGGCGTAAAGCTTTTTTTTGGTCTTTAATTTTTGCTATTCCTGTTTTCTTAATTTATATGATTTTCCCTGAATTTTCTTGGGGAAGAAAACTTGTTGATATTGAATTAATTCCTGGTCTTTATAGTGGTGATTTAATTAGTTTGATTCTTACAATACCCGTACAATTTGGTGTTGGTAAAAGATTTTATGTTATCTCTTATAAAGCACTTAAACATAAGACAGCTACTATGGATGTTTTGGTAGTTATAGGTACTTCAGCAGCATTTTTCTATTCCACTTTCATGATGGTATATACAGTTTTCATAGATCCAACTTATCCAAGACAACCTGTTTTCTTTGATACATCTACAATGTTAATTTCTTTCATTGCACTTGGAAGATATTTAGAAAATAAGGCAAAAGGTCAAACATCAACAGCTTTATCAAAATTAATGTCATTAACTCCTTCTAGTACTACAATTCTTTTAAGAAACAAAGACACAGGTGAAATAATTGGTGAAAATAAAATTCCAACAGAATTAATTCAAGTAGGAGATTTGGTTAAGATTGTTCCAGGAGATAAAATTCCAGCTGATGGTGTAGTTGTTAAAGGTGAATCTACTGTAGATGAAAGTATGGTAACAGGAGAAGTAGTTCCTGTAAAGAAATTTCCTGGTGAAAATATGATAGGAGGAACCGTTAATGGTTCAGGTAGTTTTGAAATGGAAATTACAAGAGCAGGAAAGGATACTGCGTTAGCACAAATTGTTAAATTAGTTGAAGAAGCACAAACATCAAAAGCTCCAATACAAGAATTCGCTGATACTGTAGCGGGATATTTTGTACCTGTTGTCGTTATCTTGGGAATTCTTACATTCGTTGTATGGATGATATTATCTTCAGTATTAACAAATTTACCTGATATTTTTAATGATGAATCAAGTAGGTTCATGGTCAGTTTAAAATTAAGTATATCAGTTATAGTTGTAGCATGTCCTTGTGCTCTTGGATTAAGTACACCTACAGCTGTAATGGTTGGAACAGGAGTTGGTGCACAAAATGGAATTCTAATTAAAGGAGGAAATTCTTTAGAATCAGGATATAAAGTAACAAAAGTTATTTTTGATAAAACCGGTACTTTAACAAAAGGAAAATTAGATGTCGCTCATCATGAATTAATGAGTGATAATTTGGAATTTACACGTGAAATATTTTTTGCTTTGGTTGGAGCTGCAGAATCATCAAGTGAACATCCTTATGGTAAAGCTATAGTTAATCATGCAAAACAATTACTTGAAGTTGAAAATATTGATGCGGAATTAAGTAATTTTGAAGCTATTGCCGGAATGGGTATTAAATGTAACGTAATATTAAATCAATCATATTCTTCCGTACCTTCAATGTCAAAGAACACTTCAACTATAGGGAAATCTTATAAAGTTGTGGTAGGAAGTGTTAAATTCCTTACACAAAATTATCATATTGACGTTCCAATTGATTTTATAAAAACGAAAGAAGGACATGAGAGACTTGGAAGAACTGTGGTAGTAGTAGCTATTGATAATAAATTTATTGGATTAATTTGTTTATCAGACATTATTAAACCTGAAGCAAGATTAGCTGTAGGAGCTTTACATAGTATGGGAATTAAAGTTGCTATGGTAACAGGAGATCAACAACTTACGGCTGAAGCTATCGCATCACAATGTGGAATAAACGAAATTCATGCTGGGGTTTCACCAAAAGGAAAAACTCTTATAGTTAAATCATTACAAAGTGAAGGTGTACGTGGTAATGTTGTAGCTATGGTAGGAGATGGTATAAATGATTCTCCCGCTTTAGCCGCCGCTGATGTTGGAATTGCTTTATGTTCTGGTACTGATATTGCTATGGAAGCTGCTGATATTGTTTTAATGAGAAATGATTTAGTAGATGTTGTGGCAGCTTTTGATTTATCTAGAACTATTTTTAAGAGAATTAAGTTGAATTTCGTTTGGGCTTGTCTTTATAACGTACTTGGAATTCCTTTCGCCATGGGTTTACTCTTACCTCTTGGTTTGTCTTTACATCCTATGATGGCTGGTGCCGCTATGGCTTTTAGTAGTGTTAGTGTTGTATGTAGTAGTTTAATGTTACGTTTCTGGAGTAAGCCAGAATGGATTATTAATTCAAAAGGTGCTGTCGTAAAAATTAAAACAAGAAATCGTTTAGCAGGTTCTTTGAAAAGGTTTTGGTATAGAATAATTGGCAAGAAAAGTTATACTAGACTTCATAATGAGAATTAAGAGAATATTTACGCGAGAATAAGGATTATTTGTTGGGAATTATTTCGAACAAGTCATGTGAAAAGTACGCGACAAAAANAAAAAAAAAAAAAAAAATTCAATGTAATACAACATATCATTAAATCATTAAAAGATATTATTTTATTATTTTTAAAATACTTTATTTAATTGATATTTAAAAATTTTATCTTTATCAATTGTCATACATGCATGCAAACGTATTTATATTATAACATTGATAATATTGTTTCAAACTTTCACCCGATTGTGTTTTTGAATAAAAAAGATTTAGTTTAAGTTAGATATTATTGTGTGATTTTTATTTGTGCAATTGTTATTAAGATCAAACATAAGCATGAGAAAATTTTAAAGATTTTAGCAAAGATTTACCGGATTTATAGTAGATTAGATGCTAACAAGTATTTTTTTTTTTTTTACAAAACCTAATAGAGATAGAGGACACAAACTATTTAGATAAGGCACATGAAGCAGATGGTATGTATGGTTACATAATTGAAATTAATTCCAAAACAAGTGTTTTATAATAAATGTTATCCTTGATTTAGTGGTATACCTTTGCGGAATCAATGTAAAATGGGTTGATATATTTTATGAGCATCTAATCTTTTTCCTTCATCCGGGTTTTTAATTAGCCTCCCTTCCCTTCCCCCCCCCTGTTCAATTTATTTTGGTTAAATGAAATGAAAAAAAAATTTATTAATCATACGATACTATGGATCTTATGATAATTGTCAAACAAAAAAAGGGGGGGATTAATCATATTTCACTAGAAAAGAATTAAAATAAGAAAGATTTGATTTAACATACGTTATTTTATTGACAACGCGACATTTCACGTTTTCATGTTATTGGTACATTTTACATTTAAGAAAAAAATCACGCAAGATTCCTTGTTACAATATTTTTTTTTTTTATTATTACTCCCCTACATGTGGGGCGAATTGGGTTCAAGTCTTACCGAATATTATGGTACATTACATCAATTCGGCTGGGTAATACTATTTTAATATGAATAAAATTTGGTGTAATAAATTTCACAAATACTCCAAATTATCTGGAATAATTACGCCCCATGTATAATCACTCAATATCTTTAATACCCGACTTTCTTTAAAATATCTTTTATTCATTCTTTCGGCAACTCAAGTAATACAAAAATAATAAAGTAATATGAATCAAAATGTTACATTGCGGCGTAACATGATCCTCTCATTATTTACACTGACTAATTCCACAATCCACTATAATAATGATATTTACTAGAATGTTGGAAACATGTTTGACTTCACATATGATCCAAATGTCATATGATGATCAACATATCAGATATCAACGTATAAAGTTTCGTAATAAAAACTTTGGAATAATGATCATTAATAAATTATTTCTAAATAATCCTTCCAATTCTTCAATTCGACCACTTCAACACATATTATACCAATATACATGTATGTGTGAAATATTGTAGGAAGAAAAGATTAAAAGGTCCAATTCCGATGAAAAGTTATCGGAGCTTCCAAGATCATTGTACTATAAGAAATAAAGAAAGATCAATTGAACCCATTAAAAAATAAATGAAAAAGTATTATATATATGCATATATACATACATATTATGAGGCATTTGCTAGGATAACAACAAGTTATTAGCATAATAATATCCACTAAACTTATGATTATACAAAGACAAATGTGTAAAAAGAAATAATGACTAACTTTTAACCGTCCTCGTTATAGTTCTTTCAGGATTGATTGATATCCAATTATCATCGGAGTCGTTGTAATTAAGTTATATTTTATAAATATAATAAAGTTAAAAAGTAAGTCGGTGATCTCACCTAAACAAATTATACTTAATCGTTGTGCATTAGGATCCACCTCGGGTATATATTATCATTATATTTTTAGTTAAGTATGATGTATGTTGACTTCTTAACTATATAATCAGCAACGAACTCAATATACTATTAGAACTGGTTGAAAATTATAAATTGGATAACCTCTCTTATATTCATAACTTTGATTTTCCAGTAATAATATCCATACATCAGTATATAAGATATCTAAAATGATAATATTATTATTAATATACGATGGTTTACCTAAGAAAAATATAAAATATATACATGCGGATTTGTTTTTAAATAATTATTTAAACATAAATATAATCCAGCTTCGATGAACATAATCCCGTTTTGTAATGCTTTAAAGCGATCTTACTAATTAATCCTACTTATTAATCCTTTTTGGTTTAGTAAACTTTTTTTGAAATAAGCAAACCATATAAATTCAGTTATTTAACATTTCAAATTTTGAAACATGATCAGGTAACAGTTTTAATAAGAATTTTATTCTGTAACCCATGATCATTTTTTTTTTCTTATTTCACTATGTTTGAAGTAATGCCTAAAATTAAATAATATCCTCATTGAGATCATATTGATATTTCTTTCTTTCCAGAAGAATATTAAGAATATTTAATTACAGGTTTTCTAAATAGTTCTAGAAAATGTTATGAAGGAATTTGAACGTGGTTGGTATCAAGAGCCGAAAAAGAATTTGCAATTGCTGGTAATAAGCAACATTACAGGGTTCAAAAGTTATTCCATAAATTGTAAATCGTTTACCAATCTTTTAATTCTTAAGTTTCATCACGTGTAGAGAAGTACAGAATGGAAGACGACTTATTCATTCTTCTTTTCCTTAAATTACATAAATTACAAGAGGATCAAAAAACTGTAAAATAAGAGATTGCTCTCATATTTCGCGTTAAGAGGTGAAAATGAAGTTAACGTGTAACAGAAACTTGAGATTGTGTCACAGAAGATTTCGACATCACATGAGACAATTGAGACATACAATGTCACGGGAGTATTAAGTAAATTAATGATAGTATGTATTGATAGTATGTAAGTTTGTAAAGTATAAATTTTTTTACACTTGTACATAGGTTAGGGTTAGGATTAGTCAGGATTAGGGTTCTGTGTATGTACGGAAAAAATCTTTTTGGAAGGGTTACTAACTTGTGTTTCAATTTACTAAATACTCATCATTAACCGGTTAATTAATTAATTGGTTAATTTGTGATGTGAGATGGTAAAACCGGTATATGTTTTTTTTTTCAATTGTCCGAAAAGCCTTAACCGGTTAATAACTTTTGGCCATTCTGGCCGACATTAAAATTTGACTGGAATTAATGTATTTTAGCACTTATAAAAATTAAATATATTTTCTCTGTTACAATTTCGCTAAAATACTGTACTGTCATAATCTCATACTTTAACTAGATAAATTAATCGGTTAACAGATAGGTTGTTCATCATAACTGGACCTAAACTTTAGATAGATCTGTAGACTATGTACGCCTCCTGCCGTCAAGATCTCAGAGTGATTTTTAGTTATTCCCGAGTTCCTTGTATTAATTAATCGAAGAAAAAGCCTATTGGTCTGATTGCATTTACTGCAATGGACAAACAAAAAAATGATATGATAGTTGTTACGGAAACTAATTTTGATGTAAAAAGGAACTAACTGACCTATTTTACATTCATCATTTCTTCTTTTATCAGGAATGTATCCTTATTAGATTTTATAGATGATCAAGCCATTCCTAAAATTCATTTAATATTTTAATTCTCGTTCTCACGATCAAGATTAAAAAGATTGATGTTAAACCGCATCTGATGACATTACCAGGATTGATAGATAGTAAGTTATATCAACATATATATTTTTTTAGGAATTTAAGATCATAGAATGATAAATTTCATCTCATCAAGACGTATTTAATCCCGACGATCAGAATACAAACCCGACGTTCACAATCCTGACAAATCGCAATCCCGACATGGCACTAATATCCTTTTAAAAAATCAGTACATTGTATTTATTATATTTATTAAAAATAAAAAATTATCATTATATGTCTTATAAAAATATTTAGATGATACTTAATTTGCGACGTATTATCGCAGTTTTCAGAATTCTGTGTACGTTGTGATTACTGAGTGATTGTAATTACAGGACGATTACAGGATGATTACAGGACAACATTGTCTGATTTTTGTCCGGTAATCGTCCTGTAATCTAGTAATCTAATAATTTTTTTTATCAGATGGGTAGCACAATTTTGAAAAGCGCAATAATAAATTTTTACAATAAAAAACATTTTAAAATTCTTGCGAAACGCTTTAAAAATTGCTACATACAGTATCTGGATTTTGAATGGTTTCAGTAATTTTATATTTCTAGAGCCAATAGATGACCAGATATTACAGTTTAAAGAATTTGATTTCTATTAGTCGTTTGAAAAGCTTTCTTTATAGATTCTTTACAGTAATTCTTTAATTCTAATTAATTATTTTACTTGGATAATATTATTATTATAAAAATATATATTTTTTTTAATAAAATATTGTAAAAAAAAAAATGCATCGACAAAAAATTCATTTAACACTAGTTCTCATGATCAAGATTTTACGATTATCGATTTAATTTATTTTTCTTATAAGTTGTTAAAAAAAATGCATCGACAAAGCCATTCCTAATTCATTTAGTTCCAGTTCTCATGATCAAGATTATTAGATTTAATAAATTTATTGATAAATTTATCTTTCTTATATCATTTATTTCTAGTTCTCACGATCAAGATTTTACGATTTGATAAATTTACCAATTTATTGATATGTTTATAATTGGCATCGGCTTAATATTCTTATTTTTGTGATTAAGAGATGGATCATATAATACATCGAAAAAGAAAAAAGCGTAAAATGACAATGCAACATTGTATTACTTTCATATTATTACATCATAATGCAACATTATATCACTTTTATATCATTTTTATCGCTTTTATTTTAAATCATTGAGGAAAAACATCGATTATGATGCATTGTATGCATTGTTTAAAAACTATTATTTAAATGGTTATTTTGCTTTGACTTCAAATTCATTCAATTCATCGATTCACTCGATTTACTATTAATTTCAAAAGTTTTTGGTTTTCACCTTAATCTCTAAAAAATTCTTTTTGAAAAAAAAAGGATCAATTCGTAACGCATACTCATTCGTAACAATCTCTATTTTACTTTTTCTCGTAATTCTGCTCCTTTAATTATGGATAAAAGGCAATTTTTAACAACACAAATATACAAATCAACAATCATTAAATACTGCGAATTAAGAAGCAAAATTAAGTCAACTTGATGTTTCAGCTTACGACTGACAATGAATCTGCTAATTCTTATAATTCTGATCAGGCGAATACTTTAGTCGTTTCCTAGCGTAATATCAATGCATTGGGATGGATTAATTAGAACTACACCTTACTTGACTTCTAGTAGAGTAAATGGTTTGGCTGCTGGTCATGGTTCTTTTGCTAATGTTAATGCATTTGGGGTTTAAAAACTTTAAAAAATACGTATATATGTAATCTGGGTCTCCATTTCACTGACAAATCATTTCACCGACAATTACCTCACCGATAGACGTTTCGACGACAGGGTCATTTCGCAGACAAATGTTTCGCCAACAACCATCTCACCGACAAGGGAATTTAGGAAAAGAGTTAGGTTTAGGTAAGAAGATTAGGGTTAGGATTAGGAATTAAGGGTAGAATTAGGGTAAGGGTAAGTTAGGGTAAGTGGATCAAAACTGCCGGTGAAATGACTGTCGATGAGATAATTGTCGGTGAAATGATTGTCGCCAGACCCCATGTAAGGGATGTAATTTATTATAGTATTAAAGGAAATTTTATATATCATTATATTTTTATACTTTTTAAACAAACAACAAATAAAATTTTAGTTTTCTATAATTGAAAAATATATGGTTTTTATGATAACTTTGAAATCGTGTATTCGTGCAATTCCGAATCATGAATAACCAATTACACAGGCATCCGATATATCAAAATTACGAACTGTCAGTTATATATCATCGGTCTCAATTTAATGCAATTATAAAATGAAATTACAATTTGAGAATCGTAAATTTCTATTGTTATATAAACTCGGATACTAATATAATCATATTGAAATAATTTTAATTTTAACAATCGATTGGTTTAAGTTGTTCAAAGTAAATCATCATTAAATAATAAAAGAGTAACAATATTACTTATATATTATATCTCCAATTAGATTACAAATGAATTTAAAAATAATGTAAAACTTTAAAAATCTAATTGGTTAATGATAAATAGTACAAGATTGATATGTTGATGTACATAATAAATTATGTACTTCGTTTAATGAGTTTGTACCAGTTAAAAACGTTTTTATACTGGAAGTTTAAAAGAATATTATAATATAATAATATTAAATAATAATAATAACAATAAATTTCAATTCTTTTTTTTTTCTTTTTTTCCTTTTTTTTTTCATAGAATAATATTTTATTTAATATAATCCTATTTAATATGAAAAGTTTCAAGTCTCAAACAAAGTCTCCTTCAAGACTTTCAGTTTCGTCCATAACACCTATTAAAAAAACTGGTACAATGACAACTACAACAACAACAACAACTAATACAAAGACAAAACCTAAAACAACAACAATAAAATCTTTAAGTACTAATAGAGAATCAAAAGTAACAACGACTTTATCCAAAGTTTCAACAACAACAAAGAATCCATCATCGACAACTGTTAAAACTTCAAACACTTTAACAGGTAAAAATTTACCAAAAGAAAACAAAAGTTCAAGAAAAACAACATCTACAACATCTATAACAGTTAAAAAGAAAACAAGAGAAAAACAAGAGAAAGAGAAAGAGAAAGAGAAAGAGAAAGCGAAAGCGAAAGAAAAAGTTAAAAAGATTTCGACCAATTTACCAATTTTAGAAAATGAAGTGAAAAGTCCAATTAGAACAGAAATTAATAGTGTTATGAATGAAATACAAAAATTTCGAACCAATTTACATGAACTCAGTAGAGTACAAGAAATAAGGAATGAGGATGAAAATATAACATCATCATCAACAACTCAAGATGAAATAATGATTCAAGCGGTACAAAATCAATTATCAGTAGTAAGACAACATATTACATCAATAATGGATAATTATAAATCGGATGAAAATTTATTAACAGTTATTATGACATATAATGAAGAAGTTAATATAGCATTACAAGAGGCATTACAAGAAGTACCAAAATTATATCAATCACAATTAAAACCTCCACCTTCACCATCATCATCATCTTCTTTATCATCCCAATTTAATGATTATATTTCAATTAATGATCCTCAACAAATTATTGAATCTCAAAGAATACAAATTCAATTTCTTGAAAAAGCAAATTTTAATAATGTTATTCAATTAATTAATGATATAGAAAGATGTCAATTAAGTTTGGAGAATTTTATTAAATTCAATGATATTAATATTAATTTAAATTTAATAGAATCAAAAATTCTTTTACGTAAATATGATATAAAAATTGATTTAGATAATTTATATGAAAAAAATATAAAATATTTTAATGTTTTATTAAGTCAAATATTACAAAGATTATTATTAGAAACTGTATTAGAACATTCTGATATTTATTTTACTGGTTCATTAGAAAATTTCAAATCAACTAATCAAAATAACGAAATCAATGAAATTGATGAAGAATTACTCAGTCCATATGATGCAATCGATTCACGTCATCATCATCATCATCATCACCATCACCATCACCATCACCATCATCATCATCATCAAATTACTAAAATAAATCCTGAGGTTTACGCTGTATTGGGATCAAATGGTTTTGATGGATTTGAACATCCTTTCGTTGAATTTGTTGGAGAAAAATTAATTGAAATAATTGAAAAATATTTTGATATAAAATATGATTCTAATTATATAGAAAATAGACAAAAATTTAATAATTTAGCAAATGAATTAATTCATAATATTATAAATGTTTTTTATTTTAGAATGAAATCACAAGATCCTACTGCTCAATATAAATGGTTAGAATTTGGTGAAGATTTAGATTTAGGTATTATGTCTATTATAAATTATAATACTTATTATAATAATTTTTCTTTACCTGGTGATTATATTAATGATGAGGATTTCGATGTGGTTGGAATTTGTTCTTTTCCTGCAATAGGAAAAAAGTTGAAAGATCAAGATAAATTTGAGGTTTATACTAAAGCAAAAGTTTTACCTAATAAGATTAGATTTGGTCATCATGATATTTAATTTTATTTAAAAGTCGCGTCACAAAAAAAAAAAAAAAATTTAATTTTTCTTTTTTTTTTCCTTATTAAGTTTGGGCATGATGTTACTACATAAATAAATGTTGTGATCATTACAGTATGACAAGAAACAATAGCTGCGGAAAAAGTACGTGTCAGGTGAAAAATGCACTGTAATGTTTGAGTGAATGTATTAAATAAGTTTTAATGGTTTTGAATTGTTGTAAAATTACTCAAAAAAAAACAATAGATATTTTTATTTATGAAACATATTTGAAAAAATTAGATTTTCTTTTGATTTCATTTTAAAATTATTTGATATCATGAATTTCAGATGTAACAATAAATTTAAATGAGAAAATTGCTTATCTGATGAGGAAAAAAAATTAGTAGCTCAAACAATAAATTCCAATTAAGAAATGTTTTGGCAAAATGTGATCATCTATGTTATAAAAGGTTAATTTTTATTAAAAAAAGAAATTCTTTTGACTTTTTTTTTCTTCTTAAATATATAAATTTAGTAATTTGGATTTTATATTCAAAAAAGACTTTTTTACAAAATAATATTACAGATCGGATAATTTATAATACTTAGTAAAGTGCGTGGCTTGAGTGATATGACACAATGCAATATAAATCAAAATAGAGCCGTTTAAAATTACGTTCTATGACGCATTGTGCGGTACAAAACAATACAATACGTCATTATGACATCATTACGTCATTTAACGTTTCACGAAAAATATGAAAATAACCCTAAATTGCAGCGGAATTTAGATAGTAGCTTATTTTGGTCTTGGAATTGATTGAAATTGTATATTATAAATTTATACTAAATATTGAAAGGGAAAAATATTGCTGTAATCAGTAATGTCTGATTTGCTATGGCATGAGTGTTGAATTCCGGGCTCCGCCCAGTCATTATCTTTATTTCTTTAATGATGAAATATTCTTCATTTCGTCATTCATATAGTATTACAATACTCTCCCTTTTAGTCGACGTAAAAAAAAAAAAATTTATTTACTTTCTAATTAATTCTTCCTTTGTTCGTGAGGGTTTTTAATATTACTTTCGTGATTTTATTATTGACCTATTACGTTAGTGTTTTTTTTCTCTCTGCTATTGTTTACGAATTTTTATCAACTTAACTTCTCAACTCATCACAAATATATAAAGTCCTTTTTTTTTTTTTTTTTTTTTTTTAGTTTTTGGATTTTCTTTCCCGTAAATTAGTTATTGAATTTAACCTAAAATATTAAAAAAATTTTTTTTTTGATCTACCAACCTGAAAACATTTTGTAAAAAAAAGGTACTTTCCAATTGAATTTTTCTTTTTTTCTTTCTTATGTCCTAACGTGTTTTAAAAATTAGTAAAAAAATATATATATATATATGTTCAATTTATTACTTTAAAAAGTGAGGATTATAAGAAAGGTATTAGGTCGTAATTTAGATTTAAGCAGGACCGAACCTAAATTTTCTGGAAAGTTATTCTTCAAACTTATAATGATAGATACAAGGATTAATTTGAAGACTTCGGAAGAATTAGATATTATGTTATATAGTTTATCTAATTTTCGTTTTTATATTATATTTAAGATTTTTCAGAAAGTGTAGATCTAGATCATTTATTGAACATATTGTTTTTTTTCCTTAGATTCGATTTCTCAAGGGTGAAATTATAGAGGAAAAAAAAAAATTTTTGACGATAATTACAAATTATTTGACGATAATTACAAAAACTTTGACGATAATTATTGACGATCATTAAAAAAACAACAATTACAAAACTTTGACGACAATCATACATACTGAAATATGGATCACGCGAACTCTTTTTTCTCTACTGTTCTTGAAAATTCTTCACCAACTCTGGTAACAGACATTAGTGGTCGTATTCTTTATGTTAATAGACCTGCTTTATGTTTACTGGAAAGATGTCGTCCTTTTAAGAGACCCAATGCAAATGTTCTTAATAATGATGATCCGGAACCAAGTTCTTTTATAAATAGTCATTATTCATCAATAATTGAACCTCTAGATGCGTACGAAGCTACATCACTACGTAATCATTTTATGAACAATGTACAGATTTTAAGTAAACGATCTCATGTTTGTCGGACGATTAAATGTAGAACTTTTTCAAGCAAAAGGCCTATTATGCTTGAATTTTCTACGCGTACATGTACGTATCCAGAATTTTTTAAAGATAATTCAGGAGAAAAAAATTTCTCCTCACCTTCTTCACCACCAAAGAATGATGATATGTATTTAAGAAATTCTTCCGTAATTTCTTTAAATACATCGAGTTCTATTGATGGTAAGGAAGGTATTGAAAGTGAGGGCGGTGGAGGGGTGGAGGAGGAGGATGATGATGATGAGAACGAACAATTTTTTGATGCTAAAGAGTATTCGGAAGAGGATATTTTAGAAAATAATAATATTTTGATTCAACAATCTGTCAATAATAATAATTTTAATGTTCCTATGAATCATGAGAAAAATTCATATCATAGGACAAATAAAATGGAACTATTAAATCCTAAAACTCAAACAATAACTGATAGTCAATTATTAACCGTTGTAGGTTCAACCGAGGCCACAAATAATTTAATATTAATTAGTAATATCCGAGATGTAACCGATTCAAAATTTCAAGAGTTTGTATTAAATGAATCTGATCACCGCATGTCGATTACCTATGACGTATTTGGAATTATCACAGAAATTTCTAGATCTTGTAAATCAATTCTTGGTTATGACCCGGATGAATTGCTTGGTATTGATGGTTATAATTTTATTCATCCTGATGATTCTACTAAAGTTCGAGCGTTTCATGCTAAACGTGCTGTAGAAAATTATGGTACCACTCTACAAAGACAATCTTTTCGTCATCTAAAAAAAGATGGTAGTTATTGTTTATTGGAGATATGGTCTCAAGGTATTCAACCGGATGGTTCTTGGTCATTTGTAAGTTTTAATATAACGGATGCTTCTGAGAATCTAATTGATAAACGTAATATGTGTGACCAAACTTTTATCCGTAAATTATTACCAAAAAATGTTGAAGGAGAGACTAATAATAATGCTTCAAAGAATTTTGATTCCTACATTTTTCATTATATGTATCCTTCCATTAGTAATTTTAATTGATAATTATTAAAAAAAAAAAAAAAAAAAAAGATATTTTTATATTTATCCAAAATTATGTATATGTCAATCGTTTATTAATTGTTTGTAATTTTTTCCCCACACAAATAATTTTAGAACTTCGTAATCCATTAAACGGGATAATTGGTTTTACGTCTCTTATATTAGATACCGAACTTTCCGAGCAGCAGCGTGATTTTGCTGAAGCAATTTCATCCATAAGTAGTTATATGTGCAATATTATTAATCAATCACTTGATTTATGTCAAACTCAATCTAATCGTACGACATCTTCGGATATTGGACCTTTAAGATTACGTGAGATAGTTGAGTTTGGTTTTTTAACTGTCACTGTACTGGCTAGAACTAAAGGTACTGAACTTAAATTACAAGATCATTTGACTCCTTTACAAATGTCTGGTCAAAAGTATCAATCGATTAATGGCACCACGTCTCAAGTAAAAAATGAAAAGAAATGGTACGGAGATGAAGATATTGTAAGAAAAATCTTATTGAATTATTTAACGAACGCTATTAAACATACTGGTTCTGGAGTAGTAACAGTACGCCTTGAGGTGGATTCTGATAAGTTACAAGATGGCAAGGAAGGTTTTATGGCCAAGTGTTCAGTTGAAGATACTGGACCTGGTATACCACAAAAAGACCTTAAACGTCTTTTCTTGCCTTATTCCAAACTAGTTTCATCATTTGGTGAATTGAAAACCCTCAAGGAGGGAAATAATGGTACAAAATCACCAAACCATCAACAATCACATAGGAGTTCTGGTTTAGGGTTAAGTATTTGTAAAGAATTAGCTGATAAAATGGGCGGAAAAGTTGGTGTAGAAAGTGTAATGGGTAAAGGCAGCACTTTTTGGTTTACGTTTCCTGTGTATACTAGTAAGCCCGAAAATATGGAAGATGAATCTGATTCTTCAAGCAGCGTGAGAGAAGTTCGAGATAATGGAAAGTCTATAAAAAATGTATTCTTGACAAAATCATATTCAAATAGTGTTTTTGAAAATGGTCGTGACGGTGTTACAACATCATCTTCGACTTCAGCACCATCATCTCATTCAAATTCGAATCACACTGAAACTAATTCAAAAGGCGATTTAAATTCTGAAAACCATCGAAAGCATCGAAAGCATAGGAAACCTGCGAAGGTTCTTATGGTCGAAGATAATGAAACTAATCAGCGAATCGCTTTACATTATTTGGAAAAAATGGGTCAAAAAGTTACATTAGCTGCAAATGGTATAGAGGCATTAGAAAAGATGAAGAATGAGACTTTTGACATTCTTTTTGTTGATTTACAAATGCCTTATATGGTAAATAATATTTTGTGATTTTTATAGAAGTTTCGTGGATTTATTGATCTTTTTTTTCCTTTTTTTTTTAATAAGGATGGATATACTTTAACTCGTCGAATAAGGGAAGCTGAACGTGAGGCTGAACGTGAGGCTGAACAAGAAGCATGTCGGTGTGATAAGCAAGATTGTGAATCATTATTATTCAGTGTATCAGAATCCTCCACACCACCACCTACTCCACCGGGATCATCATCAGCATTAACAAATGGTCATCAATCAGTTATTCCATTAGTTTCATTAATACAATCTTCACAATCTATATCTCCATTACATATAAACACCCAACCGCCAATAATATCCAGTACATCATCATCTTTATCATCATTATCATCATCTAATTATTCCTATTCATCATCATCTTCGTCTTCAGAGTCCTCCTCTTCATCCTATTCGCAATCACTATTGCCATCTCCAACAACTACCTCTGGTTCAACTAAAAATAATGTAACAATAAAAAATTCTCATCAGTCCGTTCCATCGTCTCCTCCAATATCTCCTCCATCATCATCCCATAAACGCCTTAAACATGTACCTATTGTAGCATGTACTGCCAATGTTTTAGATGAAGAAAAAGGTAGGTGTAAACAACATGGAATGGATGGTTTTTTAAGCAAACCATATAAAATGGAACAGATGAAACAATGCATAGAAGAACTAGTGGAAAGTGATGATGAATCATTGCCGGGTAAAGATGAAAAGAATAACGTTGAAAATCGGGATTATAATTTACCAATTAATCAAACCAATCAAATCAATCAATATGAAAAAAACTTGTCAATAGCTCCTATATAGAATTTATCTACGTTGACATATGTCTCCCAGCATAGTTTAAAATGACATTGATTATTATTGACTTAATTCATTGTTACATATTAATTCTATTTGGAATATATATTACATACAGATCGAGCGTAGAAAAAAAAAATTATATATCATTCTAACCTGTTGATCAGCTTAATCATTTAAATTGTATTTTTATAACCTATTAACTTTATATTTAGTTTTCTTAAATATTTTCCTTCTCCCACTTTACTTTCTTCTCAGCCACATCCTTTTTTAATTCCCTCTTCTTGTGTATATTTTTTGTTCATTTCCCCCTTATACTAATAATATAAACCTGATATGTAGTTATATCAGAGCAAAAATTCATTATTTTTTTTTAAAAAAAAAAAGAGGTTATATTTGTATTTAAAGGGTCATCGCAGGTTCGTTCTATTAAATACATTTTGTTAGAGTTACCATTTTTTCCCCTTGCATTTCAAAAAATTATTAAAATATATACGTTATATGTATATAAATTATTATGTTTATAATAAAATAATATTAAAAAAATCTTTAATTGACAATTGTCAACTTTCGAGTCCAAAGTTTATGTTGTAATATTGATGAATTACCTAAAAATTCACAAATCACGTGTTAAAATGTTTGCATTGCGAGTTGTTGGATCAAATGAACATGTTAAGTACTGTGGTACCAATAGAAATTTGCGATGTATATATTTTATTAATACGAGTATTTTTATATGGATTCATCTATTATTAAAATGAAAGTAAATTAATTATAAGCATAATTAATCATAAAACGTAAATAAAAATTATATAATCGTACATATTTCTTTCTCGCAAATTTCACCTCATTTTACCTTATGATCGAGTAAGAAGTACAAGAGTGATGATCATCAATTTTTTATCGCAAAAATTTTGTCAGTTGTCAATAAATAATTTTTCTTTTCTCTTCAAACTTTTTATAATTAAAACCTCGTTATCTATCTGCAATTCGGAAAAATTTATGTTCCAACGGCAAACAAGTAATTCAAAAAAGTTAAACACAATCTTATTGACATTTACATAAATAGAATTTGGGATGAAAATAATGTATGACTATAACTAAATATATTCACTTGCATCAAATATATTCTTAATGGGTAATAAGTCTGTAAGAAAAAGAATTTTCTTGTTTCTTCCTTCGAACATTTGATCCTTTTTATTTTTTAATAATATGTTCTCACGTACTATTTTAATAATAATATTTTGGTTCTTTATGAAAATTTTTATTGGAATTGATGCAGGAATTTATACAAAGACAAATCTAATAATACAAGAAAAACATCAACTTAATAAACTTAATATAAATTATTTTAATCATAATGAAACCAAACATATTTTAGTTGGTTCAGTTGGAGGTAAATTGAATAATTTTATAATTTATAGATAAAAGGATTTGAAAAAAAAAAGGTTTTTTTTGATAAGATGAAATGCTAATAAATAGGATGGAGTAATATTCGACCTTTAATAGAAATTTGTAAGATTTTAATTGATCGTGGACATAATGTAAGTGAGAAATTTCTATAATTCCTTTTTTTTTTAATTTTATAATTAAAAATAATTTTTTTTTCCTTTTTTTAAAGATAACATTTATTTCGCCAATACCATCATTATCATTATTAACTGAAGAGGATTATTATTGGTTACAAAATTCTTCAATAATTAATCATATTCCATCAGGACCTTCATTTAATATAAAAGATATACCAGAATATCAAAAAATCATTTCAGAAGATTATAATATTAAAATGTTTGGATACTTGATAAACTATTTTAATTCAAAGTATTTAAATAATTTTAATTTATATAAAAAAGTTGCTAATGAAATGACAAAAGTTGATTTATTTTTTTGTGAATTATTTTTAAATGATGCTTGTATTGATGTTGCCTGGTTAATGAATAAACCTTTGGTTACTATGTCATCTAAATTATGTAAGTAAATATTTTTATTTGTATAACATCATACATAATCAATAATACTATATATAATAATAATAATAATATATATATACTAATAATAATGTTAACGGTTATATATAGCAATGTCATATGCACCATATAAATCCGATCCAATGATAGGATGTAATGTAAATATGGAACAAGAGACATTTTTTAAGAGATTTAAGTGTGCAATCATTACACCTATTCAAATGAATATTATTCTTTCACCTTATATTAAAGAATTAGATGAATTAAGAAGGAGAGTTGGAATTACAAGTTCTAATTTTTCTGAAAAATTACAAAATTCATTATTTTTAGCTGATACATTTTTTGGTTTTGAGGTATTTATTTTATTTGATTTTATTTGATTTTATTTATTTTTATTTGATTTTATTTGATTTTATTTGATTTATTTGATTTATTTGATTTTATTTGATTTTATTTAATTTTATTGATTTTATTTGATTTTTTTTGTTTGATTTTATTTGATTTTATTTGATTTTATCTGATTACATTAATATTATTTAATAATTTGTTAACTTATTATTATTATTATTATTATTATTTAAAGACTTCACATCCAACTTCTCCACTTTATCAAGTAAGTCCTATATTTAATCTATCATTATTTCTCTTTCTATATATATTCATATTTATATATAATTTTTATAATAGGAAATTGGACCAATAATGGCAGATGAATACAAAACATTACCAAAAAAACTTTATAATTTTATAACATTACATAGAAGGATTATATATATCAATTTTGGAACACAAATTTATACAACATCAAAGAATAATGCAATACTTCTTCAAGCATTTATTGAAGCAATAAATAATAGGATAATAGATGGAATAATTTGGACATTTGATTCATTTAATTCAACATCAACAAAAGAATTATTTCCACCTACAATAAAACTTTCAAATAACGAAATTATAAATACTTTAAATATATTAAATAATAATTATCATCCAAGTATACATTTTACAGATAATTATTCAACACAATTTTCAATATTAAATCACAAAAATATTATAATACATTTAACAAATGGAGAATTAGTAAGTATTTATGAATCTTTATATACAGGAACACCGATGTTATTATTACCAATTGCATTTGATCAATTAAGTAATAGTGAAAAATTATTAAAAAGTAATGTTGGATTATTACTTTCAAAAAATTCACTTAATATTCGAGATATTATAAATAAGATAAGAATATTACAAATGGATAAAAAAATATTTTTAAATATGGAAAGGATGAAAAATTTAGTTATAATAAATTGTAAAAGAAAATTTAGAGCAGCAGATTTAATTGATTTCGTTTTATATTCAAACAAATTAAAATTAAATTGTAATAATCAAGAAGAAGATGAAGAAGAGAATTGTGATAATGAAGATTTAAAAGTTTGGATTACACCTGAATCAAGAATGGGGTTCATAAAAGGAAAATATTTAGATGTTTACGTTTCATTTATTTTTATATGTTTAATAATTATTTTTTTAATTATTTTAACAATTTGGAAATTTTGTAAATTATTAATTAGATCAATTTGGAAATTTTGTAAATTATTAATTAGATTTTTATATTGCATTCTAAGGTATAATAAATTTTTTTAATAAAATGAGATTTTTTTATTTTTTATTTTACAATTAAATCGCACGCAATTTGGAAAATGTAATAAATTTTTTTTGGGATTTACTTTATTGATCCACGCAATTTTTAATCCGCGTAATTTGGAAATTATGTAATTATACAGTAATCAGAGGATATAATAAATTTTTTTTAATAAACGGTTTAATATTGATGACGATTAATCAACGCAATTTTGTAACAATTCACGCAATTTGGAAATTATGTAATTATAATGTATTCAGGGGACATAATAAATTTTTTTTTAATAAACGGGATTTACTTTATTGATAACAATTAATCCGCAATTTGGGAATTTTTTATTATATTTTAGGACATAATAATAAATGAGGTTTTACTTGAGGTTTAACAATTAATCCACGCAATTTTGTAATTCTAAGACAAATTTTTTAATAAATGGGATTTATTACAATAAACCCACGCAATTTTGCATATTGCTATTTTTATAATTCCAAGACAAAAAAAAAAAAAGGAGGTTTACTTGGCCGTACGATAAAATCCAAAGCAATTTTGTAAATTATTGGTTAGATTTTTTTTTTATATTGCTATTTTTATAATTCTGATATTCGGCTTAGCCGTTTTTCAATTACAATAGATTTGCGCGAAATTTTATTCGACGAATTAGAATTACGTGAGAATAATAATCTGAAAATAATGATAAACCACAAAAAAAAAAAAAAATTGTAAATCTTTCCTTTTTTTTGATAACTGAGAAGAGATAAGTAAAACTAATGGACGATCATCTCTCCTGATATTTTATACGAATAAAATGTACATAATCCATTTTCAGGAGCCTTATCCGCACGTACGTGTAAGAAGTTTTTATAACTATTTTAATCGAACAATTAAATTTTTGCTTAAATGTTAATTTACATGCAAATTTAAATAAGGAATTTATTAAATTTTATTAGGGGAAAGTTTTATATTTGAATGTAATGGATAATACCTTTATGAACAATTCCGTGTTCATTGTTTATTATGTAACAATTCCTAATCGTGTAACGTAGTAATTGATAAAAAAAAAAAAATAAGGGATGATTGTTTTTCATTTTATTAAAAATAAATATTAGATAAACCCCTAAAAATATTTTAAGTTTAATACTATGGAAAAACCTTATTAGAATAAATAAATTTTTTAATTCTTTGTACCCGGGCAAATTGGCGTGAATAGTATCATAATTCTGTAATTATTAAAGTCATTGTACATTACCCTTATGATCAAGAAAAAGATTTCAAAGATTTTCTCGGTTGTTATTAAACGTAAACGGTTAATAAGATTCCCAATGCATTATAATGATTCTTTCCAATTACATCATTTACATATCTGCGGAAAATTCCGAATATCCGAAGAGAACGAAAAAAAAAATATTTATTTTTAAAGTTATCTTATCATGAGGGGTTTGTGGGAAAAATTATTTCCCATTAATGTAATGACATGACTTGATTGACTTCTAAAAATATTTCTTGGCGAAAATAACTGATTCGGGTTATTCTATTGTTATTTATTTATGACACCATCAATTCTATTTCTCCAAACACAACATTTCTAGAAACTTTATCTGTAAAACTTGTATCAACTTTTTTTTTAACAAAGCTTTTCTTTATATTTTAAAATAAAATACTTTTTTTTTTTTTTCCATCAAATTTTCACATGGATAATTTTTTATTACAAAAATTTATATATATACTCTTTTAATCCGCTCTTCTTTTTTTTTTCTCAGAAACATTTTCNGTGTTAAGGAATTAAGTTTTAATGATTTAGTTAATTCAATTTCGGGAATACTCCAAGAGATTCAGAAATAATATTCGATTGAATCAAAAATAAAAAAAAAACTAATATACACACATACACACATACACACACAAAAAAAAAATTCATATTTAATAATAATAATAAACATGGTTCGTCTTGTAACTTTGACATTACTTCTTGCACTTATCACTTTAGTCTCTTCTCGTGAGTATTTTTTTTTTATTTTCAATTCCATAAATTTTCTTTCTTAAGAGAGATCGATTAAATACGAAATGAAAAGTCAATATCATCTTACTTAAAAATTCGATTTTTTTTTTTTTAAAAAAAAATTCAGAGTCTGTTTCGGTGTTAAATACCCCATCTGGACCTATCACTCAAGGAGCGAAAGTATTGGTCACTTGGGAAACAATTGCACCAGCTACTCAACCAGGAGTTTTATCGGCTATCGCAAAGAGTACACAAAACACGACGGTATTATCAGATAATATTGATATTAATGCTAAGTCCTTCGATTGGGTAGTCAATGTAATACCTGACACGTATAGTCTCGCTCTTAATGATGGATCTGGAAATAAATTTTCTGGTCCAGTTGAAGTAATCGCAGGTATGTTCATTTTTATTTTCTTTATAGTAGCATATATTGTAATTTTTGCTAAAATAATTAAAATAATTTCTATTTTTTTTAGCAAAAAATCCACAAAGTCCCAAAACTCCAGCCAAAGCTCCAGCTGGAGGAGCTTCACCACCACCACCACCACCACCACCACCAGCAGCAAAAGGAAAACTTGTCCGTAGAGCTCCCCAAAATAGTATGTATAACTAACTGGATGTAAATGTTTTTAAATGTTTTATTCAAACTTAACTTTTTTTAAAATTTTTTCAAAAAGGCGCACCAACTCAATCTCCAGCTGCAAAGTAAGAGTCTATCAAATAAATCATTGTTTTAAATTCAAACTAAATTTTATTTATTAATTTAATTTAATTCTCTATTTTAGGAGCAGTTCCACTTCTACTAAATCGGCATTTGATCTTTTATTAAGTCTTATGACCGTAGCCATTATTATGGTACATTCCGCCTAAACTATATATTGTTAGAGACTAAGATTAGATATTATATTACATAATTTATTTTCATGTGGGACGAGTCGGGTGAAAATAATTTCTTTAGTATTATAACATTTAGTTTAAAAACATTCTAGTTTATAACATTTAGTTTTCAATTCTATACTAATATAATTTTAGTCCCAAAAAAAAAAAAAAAATAATAATAATAATAAAATAAAATTAAAATAAAATTAAAATAAAATAAAATAAAAAATAATTGATTTTTTTTTATCCGAAAATTTTTTTTTTTTGATTTTGTACATGTTCCAACTTACTAAGAGAATTCGCTGTGGCAGACTGACAGTACCCCCAAACAGAATAGTTTGATCAGGTCCGAACACCCTGATATTTTTTTTTAAGTCGAATGCGGGCTAATCGCTCTGGTAATATGACGACTTCGCCTTGATAATAAGTCAGTGGAAGTACCTCCAACAGATCCAACAGAATAGTTTGATCAAGTCCGAACACCTGATATTTTTATTAAAAGTCGCGTGCGCTCTGTTGAATCGAGAAGAATTTTAATATGACGACTTCGCTTTGGTAATAAGTCAATCACTCTGTTGAACCGATAATAAAGTTTTCCAACGTTCAACGTTCCAGTATGCTATACTTTCGACTGACATTGGAATTCTTTAATTCTTTTTTTCTAACGCGTACACGCGAAAGAAATATACTTCGGAAAGCATTTTTATTGCGTGTTCTGCGAGTTCAAGCTCATCAAATGCCATTCGTGATCCATTATTAGATCTGTGAAAAAGAATTAGTAAAAGGAACAAACGCCCAAGCCAAAGACCACTCCAACATCTTAAACTTTGACGATACTATATAAAATATTAAAAAGTTCTTTTTAATGAAAATTGAAAATTTCATCATGACAAATAATGTCATTATTTCCCGTTTATCACGTTTACACTTAAATGTAAATAAAAACTATGATGCAAAAATTGGCCGCTAATTTATCCTTAAAATAAGCTATTATAAATATAAATATTGTTCTCATAATAAATATCTAAACTTTTTTTACACTTTCTTACAAATAATTTTTTTTCAACTGGAAACGCTCCATAATTGTATTATATTTTCGTAAAAATACAGCATTCACCTTTGTTCGAATATAAATTTGAAAATTTCACTATACTACTTTGAAACATCAAGATCAAAATCTATTTTCTACATTAATAATTAAAGGTTAAAAAAAAACACACTTTTTTTTTTCGAATAACATACATGAATTTCATATCTTACCTATTGGTCCAGTTATTCCCATTTAACATTGAATTCCAGATTTGGAGCAGAATCTGGGGACATATCAAATTCTTTAATTACCATTTTCTTTTCTTTACTATATTTCTCGATTAATCCTCTATAAACAACCCTATCCAGATGATGATCTCCATGAAAATTAAGGCGAAATTGCTTCAACTCCACCTTGCAATTATCAAAAAATCCTATCAATGAACTATCTGATAATACCATATGAATAAATTCCAAAGTATTCAAGCTTTTAGGTAAGATCTTTGCCATTTCAACAGTAAATCCGAAATTTATCAAACGACAAGATCTCGTCAAAGACAACTTTCTCATATTTATACATTTCTTTAAGATTGAGAATAAAGGTGGGATATCTTGTTTTTCGATAATAAACGTGCTGAAACTAGAAAGATTCTTATTACAATTCTCTAATATACCTTTAAGCAATTTATGATTATTTTCACCTTCGTATTTGATGCTGAGCACGTTCAAATTCGATACCATATTATGGTTATTCATAATTTTAATAAAAGGATTAATACTATTTGACATTCTTAATCCATCCGAGTAATCAATGAAATCAAGTTTCAAAGTCTTCAAATTCGGGAAAGATGCATGATTAAAAATTCTTAGATGGCGTAATCTCATATTTACTTGAACCAAAGATAAGTTTTCCAACTGCTTGCATTTTAACAATGATTCAAATCCAAAATCATTCCCAATATTTGCATTTGTTAATTTGAGCTTCTTTAACGTATTCGCCTGAGATTCCAAACTGGAAATAACTCCAGATATATTACCTAATTTATCAATGATATAACCCAAACTATCTCCCTTGATTCTTACTTGTTCAAGTTGTTTTTGTGATTTAATAAATTTCATCAATGGTTCTTGAAGATCATTAAGATTAAAGTCGTTAATTCCAAGAACTCTCACGTTTTTAGAAAGTAATGCTAAAGACGAAAGAACGTGATTTTTATAAATGCATCCACTAATTTCAACACTTCTCAGCTTTTTAAATGTCATTTTTTTCTTTTCGTATGCAATAGCAAACAAGCTTATAAAAAACATATCAAGTCTCGTGATGAACTGTTCAACAGCTTTTTCGTCAAAACCATAATTGTAATGAAAAATGGAAGTTGGTGGTTCTCGCTCGGAAGGTTCTCCGAATAAATCATTTTCATCCAAATGAAGAATAATCTTTTCAATAATAGCACCTCTTTTTACTATAATTCTCATGATTGTAAAGACAAACCCAAAAACTTGTTCTATTTCTGGAACCTCTGGCAGGGGAATATTAATATCTAAATTAAATGATCCCATTTCAATATCATTCAAATCATTCTGAAGAACTTCTTTTCCTTTCCCCTTTTCTAAATTATTTTTTTCTGAGGAAGTAGCTCCATTAAACATATTTTTTATTTTACTTTCCTTATCTTTAACGTATTTCATAACAAGGAGGAAAATATTATGAAAATCAATATGTGTTATAAAAGAAGGATAATCAAAAGACGTATCTGATGGCAGAGAACATTCTATATCGTCATCATCATCATCATCCGTCTCATCCTCAAGATCATACTCATCACTATCCTCATAATATTCGTCGTAATCTTCTTCATCGTCCACATCATATTCGTCGTATTCATCATCGTATTCATCAGAATTCAGTTCATCATCGTCATCGCTGTCTTCGTTATCGTCATCACCGTGATCCTTATGTTCACTATGAATACTAATATCGCTATCAATTTCCTTAATATCATCCTTACTCTTCTCTTTTGCTTTTTCGTTATCTTCGACATTAACTTCAATTTCTTGCTCATCATGAGAATCTTTCATAATTTTGTCATAATTCTCACGTATAAATCTTTTCATAAATTCTTTATCCTTTACGATGAATTTCAAAAGAAGAGGAACAATCTTGGTATGATTTTTTAAATCAACATCACCACGAAACGGATTCTTCCAAAGATATTTTATACCGTTGCGACACCAGTTACGATTTACTAGTATAATAGAATGTAATGTTTTGATATCGTTAATATTAATAAAGATTTCTTGTAAAATTTCGTTTGGAAAAGGCGCCATTTTTTTTTTTTTTTTTTTTTTTTTTTTAAAAAAAAAAAATTAGGGAACGAAAAGGAACGGAGATTTTTCGACTGATTGTGATCTTTATATGTAAAAAAATTCACATGCTCGAGGCTTATTAACACATCTTGAGCATATTACTTTACTATAAATGTTAGGTAAACACGCCACCGATTATTCGATTTATTGCTTGTACTCATGTGAATTTTGTAATCCGAGTAATATTAAAATGATGGATTACTTCATGAAGGTATGATCTACTGGAATGGGAGTTTTAAATTTATTTTTTTCATAGGCTGATTTATTTAATACTTAAAAATATTTTATGATTGATTTTTATTTGAAAAACTATATAAGATCTAAAGTATAAAATAACTTTATTTTCAAACTTTCATACCAGCAATAAATAAATGAAGTTTGATCAGGGTTTTCTTCAATACTTCTTCCAACTCATCTTAGTTTTACTTTAGGCAAATTTCACATATACAAAGTTATTACAAATAACTGTTAAATACTAATCAAGAAAAAGAAATAAATAAATCAGATTAATTCTTCCTTTGGAAGTAATGTTATGGAATGTTATGGTTTGAATATCCTCAACCTTGATTGTAAAGTATCTATTTTGAAATTTGAAAAAACGTTAAAAATAAAAGATACCTTAAGCTTGATCCTGAGAGCATCATCACTTCATTTAAATAATTTTATGTTATAGGTAATAACCTTCAATATTTTTTCGCTTCCATTTGTTCGTCCTTCATTGAGACTAAAACTGTTAGTAGTTTCACCCTTTAAATTAATGACTACTTATATTGAATACTGAAAAATCTCGCTTCCATTTTGTTCGTCCCAATAGCTTACTCTTTCATATTATCCGCAATTCCAAATACTCAAATATTTGTGCGTCAAAATGTATAATTAAAGGTAAGAATTAAGGTTTGAAATTTATGCAGCTTTTTATATTCATTTGCACTTCTATAATGTTTGTCATACAAATGTTAGTCGGATACAAAAAACTAGAAATCACGTGATAATACTATTAAGTTTTTTATCAAGTTTTAATCTTTTAGACTGCAATAAATGTGGAATGATTCTGTAGAAAATACTAAAGAAGCCAATACCAAGAAAAGAAAAAAAAGGAACTAATGGTTATTAAATAAATTAATGAGATAGGTGCTATTTATGTCGTGCTTTTTTCCGGTTGATTCTTTTTCATTGTTCTTTTCAATGATACATTATTCCAAATATGAAAATAGCAAATTCCAAATAGAAATTAATTAATTTTATAATAAAACGGGTAGAGTCATATTTGTACATTTTTTGAATCATCTGACACTTAATTATTAAAACAGGCCATTTATATTCTAAATCTGGTAACGTACAAGTTATTAACGGAATAAATACTCCACTACCTCAATTTATATTTATATCACCTAATTCCATCATCTTTTTATTTAGTTAAACAAAATGTCAATCGAAGATATCAATTCCTTAAAAGTACCTTCATCTCTTTTAACGCACTCGAAAAATAGGTCCGTGTCATCTTTAAGTACTAAAGATTCACATGAAATAAATATCGAAGATGAAATTCCATTATTATTAACCTCGCCTAAACCAATTCATAATAATAAACCTAGTTCCGAAGAAATTTATTATAATAAATTTTCAAATGACTCTATAATTTATCATCTTCATATAAATCATACAAATTCTTCAACAAAAAAAGATAAAATAAAAAAGAAAAGGCTATGTAGAAAGATTAAAGAATTCTGGAATTGGTTGATTGATCCTAGGCATCCAAAGAGAAAATCTCCTCTTATCATATTAATTATTTTGGCCATAGTTTTATCAATATGTAAGTAAATACAGTAATTTTACGAAGTCTATTTAATTCAATATTAACGTTAAAAACTTTTTATAAAGTTGCAATTAAAGGATTTCGCGATTCAACAATATATATTCTTGCAACCATGGTTATCATTTTCCCAGCCTTACTTTATCTTTGCAAATCATAAAAAGTAATATGATTTTCCAAGAAATTTATTATTAATTAGTAATTACAAATTAGAAAGATCACTAATAGGAATTTAATTTTGAGATCTTCGTATAAGAAATTTTCTCGAATGTAACGTAACAATTGTAACACGTACCTCCTTTCTTTTACCTTAATCGTAATTGATTCTATTTTTTTTTCTTTATAAATGTATTCCTTTTGATTAAAGACTCACATGTCACAATTCACATAGATTAATGTTATATACTAACGTAAAATAGAAACAAAATTAAATAATAATCGATGGTGATACATTTTGTACTACCGACAGTAAGTCGTAATGCGCATCCAAAAAGTCGAAAATTCCCATTATTAAGAACCCCGCAAAGGGAGTATTTACTTATTCTTAAAGAATTTGAAAAGATTTTCTTTATGAAAATTGATGATTTATTTTAAGGAGGTTATTTATGATCTGTAAGCACATTGAACTTTCACGAGGCTGTTATAAGGATTTTCTTTTCATTTTATTTTAATGAAACAAATTATCTAATTTGTTAGGTACTGCGGTTTGTCATGATTTACAAATAAAATAAAATAGAAATTCATTTTATCAGGATATTGATTCTTTTTAATGAGAAAAAAAATTTTTCGTTCGACAACAATATGTCGAATTTTTTGTAATATTTAAGCCTCTTATATTTTAATTTAATTAATTTAAATTAATTTTAATTAATAATAATTGTCATTCTTTGAATCGATTTCAACGACATGAATTATCAAGAAAGTACTACCTCAATGGATGAGGACCCAGCTATTTCGGATTTTAAAGATGGAACTTTCACTCCTTCTTTAACAAGAGGTTCAGTAATAACGTACACTACTGATCTTGAAGATAGTAGTGTATTATCAACGGAAACTGAATTGGATCGTGATTATATGGACACAGTAAAAAGAAAGAGTGCTAAGAGTCTTTCAATACCAATCAATAATTCTCCTTTTTATCGTCGAAGAAGGTTTTGGGCTGTTTGTGGAGCTTTTTCAGTTATTCTTTCCGCTATATTTATTCCTCTTTTATTCCTGGTCATAATTCCAAATGTAGCTCAAAGCTCAGTTAATGATTCACAAATTAATTTTGATGCTATAAACATTACAAATCCAACAAATGATAGTTTCATCGTTAGTATGTCAGGAACAACTAGTGGAACTGGTCCATTTAGTGCCACAATAACGTTTAATGGACCCGTGGATATTTCATATAATGGTGCTATCATTGGGTCCGTCGAATTAGATCCTATTGAAGTTTCTGGTGGAAAAGGTACTTTAGCAGGAGAAAAAAGATTATTTGTCATTAGAGATAAAGCAGCTTTTAATGACTTTACATCAAAAGTATTGTCAGCAAAAGAATTTGAATGGACCTTACAAGGAAAAGCGAGCGTGAAAACATTTGGAATGAATCTAAATAATTTAAAAGTAAATAAAAAACTTACAATTCCTGGTAGCAATAATTTTAACACATCAGTGTTAGATTTAAAAATGACTGAAAATCAAGATAAAACAATTTCCTTAGAAATACTAACAAATGTATATAATCCTTCTCCTATTGGAATTGAAATTGGAGATATGACTGCGCAACTTAGTTATAATCAAACTTTAATAGCTACCACAATAGCCAAAAATGTCTTTATTGGTGCTAAAGCAAATAATATAACCTTGACAGGGGTAACAAAGGCACCAGCAACAGAACAAGATAGGTTAAATATGATAGCAGTTACAAATAGTTTTCTTACAAATACACCGCTTATCACTTCAGCTAATATATTATCTATAGTACCTAAAAATGGACCAGTAGATTGGTTAAATTCAGCTGTCAAGGGTTTTTCATTATCTGCCACAGTTGGGAATAATCCTAATCCTCTAAAACTTATAAGCAATCTTGACCTTGGTGAAGAAACCTTAAAATTTACAACTGATGAACCATATTCTCCTACAATCTCCTCGAAAAATGTAGTCGCCGATTATGCTTTACCTTTTAATATTAATTTCAAAATTTTAGAAGTAGGTCAAAAAATAACTATAGCACGTGATAACAAAGATATTATTACACTTGAAAGTCCTGAAGTACCAGTAATCAGTACCCCAAATCAATTATCCCTTAATATTTCAGAAACAAAATTGCAAGTTCTTGATGCTGGAAAATTCTCCGACCTTCTTGCAGATTTAGCAACGAATAAAGAATCCGAAGTTGTTGTCTATGGAAAAACAACTATTCTCACTAATACTGATATACTTGGTCAAGCTTTAATTCAAGGAATTCCCTTTAACTTAACTACAACATTTCAAGGTTTCGATCAATTTAATAGCGATGGAAATCCTCCTGTTGTTCAAGATCTTACCATTTTATCCGGAAGCTCCAATCAACTATTTATGGGTATCATCGTAGTTCTTACAAATCCTTCAAAGTATTCTACATCCGTCGGACAAGTATCATTTGATATGTTCTACAAAGACAAAAAAATTGGTACCACTGTTATCCCAGATTTATCTGTTGTTCCTGGACCTAACCCCGTTACTGTCATGGCTATTTTAGATGATCCAGGAAAAAATCCTGATACAGTAGAACTTTTCAAATTATTTCTTACCGGTCAGTCAGCTACCGTAAATATCAAAGGGAACGAACATTCAACTAATATAACTAGTTTAATACCAGCATTCAAATCCATCAATATTCCATCAAGTATGCCTCCTCTCAAAACACCATTCATCAAAAGTTCTAGAATTGTCTTTGATAATCAAACTGCGACTACTAATGTTTCGACAGGAATTGTTGAAATGACAAATCCTTTTGTAGCTCCAATTTCAATTTATGCTATGAACTCATCATTTAGTTTTAATGGAATTGAACTTGGATCACTTGAACAAAATAATTATAATAATCCAATCTTTATTCCTGGCAACACAGATCAAACTCTTCAATTTCCTGTTAAAATGGTATTGGATCCCGTCGTATCATTTACAGTATTAAGAACTTTAGCTTTACAAAATAATTTGGATGTCACTGTTCTTGATTCATTAATCGCTCTTAGTAATGTTTCCGTTCCTGGGGCTGATCCAAATGCAAATCCTACTCCAGAGGTTATCCAATCATTTGATATGGCAAAATTTGTTACAACAGCAATGGCTAAAATCCCTGTCACTGTTACTATGGATTCTCAAGTTGCCATCGGAAATTATTTTATGTCAATGTCATATAAACAAGATATTATCGCGACCACTGATCAAAGCATCTTAAATATGGTTCCTGCGCTTGCAGCACCACTTATAAATCATATGATAGGTCAATCAGAAATGTCTTTTGATTCGATATTTGTTCAAAATATCGATGTTAATTCTTTTGATACTGTAGCTAGTGGTCAGATTTTAAATGCAGGTTCACTTCCTGCTACAATTAGTTTTCCAGGTGGTGCATATCTTTATTCGGAAAATACTCTTCTTGGACAAGTACTCGTACCTCCTATAACAACTGGTGGTGATAATAGATTCAATAATGTTAGTAAATTCATCATAGCTGATATTCCAACATTTTCAAGTTTCTCTGCAAAATCTTATTCAGCTCAATCTGTCTCGATGGAACTTGCATCTGATAATGTCATGATTACATCATTCGGACTTCCGATAGGCCCAATTTCCATAAGAAAAGCATTTCAAATAGATGGATTCAATGGCTTGAAACAATTTACGTTAAATAAGTTAACCTTTCCTTTATCAGTTACGATCGATGTGAATAATCCCGCACGTGTTGGTGTCGAACTTGGCAAGGTCGTTTATGCCCTCAGTGTCAATAACGAACAAATTGCTACGGTTACTAGCAACAGTGTCACTATCAATCCTAAGGCCGTATCTAGTGTTACATTTCAAGGAGATCTTAATCTAGATCCAAAACTTGTCCAAAGTTTTTTTGCCCCAGATCCTCCAGCAGTTGTTGCTCAAGGAATTTCAGTTACGCCACCTAAAGCAACTGGTGAAGTAGTTTGGTTAGAGGAAACTCTTAAAAGTTTCACGCTAACCGTTCCTTTCAGTGCGAAATCATTATTAAATGGAAAAGGTGCGCCCCCTGTCGATCCCTCCGCACCTGCTGCTCCTCCAGCTCCCCCAGCAGCATAGATAAAAAAAGTTATATATATAAATATACATTCGAGATGAGATTTAAGAGGTCTAAGAGGTCGAAAGTCGATAATGTCTTTTTTTGCAATGAATTAATTCAGTGTTTTTTTTTAAGTCGTTGGGAAATATTACAAAAATTTCGTTAGCTAGAATTTATAATTAATTTATTTAGTTTAATTTTTAATTTTATTAATTTAATTTTTTTCTTTAATAATAAAAGTAACAAATTTACCAAGTCTGTGTAAATTCTTTAATGGTTTCTTCTTTTCATTTTAAAAAAAATTCGTGGTTATCAAATCTGCGTGCCAATTATCAATTATGATAATCTTGATCAAAAATGAAAGTTTTTTGTTCCTACTGTATTTCTCACGATTTGCTTTTCTTCGTAGCTAACATATGCCTAACATTTATGGTATTGTTACTTCTTTAGCGCTTAATGTATATTATATATTTTTAAAAAAACTAACTATCACGTTTAAAAACTATCGCGTTTTATTTAAAAGACACGCCTTCGCTTTGTTCATTTGATACAGAATACAGTGCAGATTCTGTAGAATTTTGTCCATTAGAACAGCTTTTTCAGTATTTGGCATGCGGCACCTATCAATTATCAGATTCAAACCAAGAAATAACACCACAAATTAACGAGAATAAAGAAAAAGATGAATTTAATAAAGTTGATACGCCAAAAAAAAGACTTGGAAGATTATTATTATACAAAGTAAACAAGAATGAAGATGGTCATAAAGTAAAATTGTAATTTTCATTTTTATATAATATTTTTTCTATTATTTTTAAAAAAAAAAAAAAAAAAAAAAATAATGAGACTCTTTTTATGAATTTACTTGCAGACAAGAATTACAAAGAATTGATACGCCCGCAATACTTGATATGAAATGGTAAAACACTCTTATAATGAATTTTAAAAGTAATTCAGCTCATACTTTCTTTAAAATCCTTTCTTTAAATAGGTCACACAAGCTTATTGATGACAAAAGAGTTTTGGCCGTGGCAGATTCAACAGGAATGATCTCTTTATATAATCTCTTTCAAAATAATGTATTAAACGTTTTTTTAAAATTATTTTTTCATAATTCAACTTTCGATTATTTTGTTTTAATTTTGAAATTTCTTGAAATTTAAGAACTCATTTGATTTAATTACAAAATATGCAACAAATAATGAGGATAATTTATGTCTTTCGCTAGATTGGTCAAATCGAATTGGGGACCTAAAGTGAATATAAAAAAATTTAATTTATCTAAAGAGTATTATAATTATTTACTTAAAAAGGAATTTTATTTTTAATAGCCAAAAAACGTCTATTGTCGTGTCTCAAAGTGATGGAAATATTGTTGTATTATCTGTAGATAATCAATTTGGAATTCGCGAGACAAATAAATGGAATGCTCATGATTTCGAAGCTTGGATAGCTGCTTTTAATTATTGGGATACAAATTTAGTTTATACTGGTTGGTTTTCTTTATCTGAATTACTTTCATAATTATAAATTTTTTATTAACAAACACTTAAATTTTATTTTAAATATAATTAGGAGGGGATGATTGTTTCTTTAAAGGATGGGATTTAAGAATAAGTCAATCAACTCCTTTATTTTCCAGTAAAAAGTATGAGAATCTTTAAAATAAAGCAAATGAAATTATATATTTTTAATTAAAATTCTCTTCAAAAAATAGACATCAAGCTGGAGTATGCAGCATACAATCCAATCATCATTCAGAACATCATTTAATAACTGGAAGGTAAGAATTTTTTTTAAAAAATGACTTATTTTATATACATTCAAGGATTAACATTCTAATATGATAGCTATGATGAAAACATATTATTATGGGATACGAGATCAATGAAACGACCAATATCTGATTATAATGTTGGAGGAGGTGTATGGAGATTAAAATGGCATCCAACAAGAAAAAATTATATCCTAGCAGCATGCATGCATAATGGATTTCATGTAATTAAAGTTGAAGAAGATATGACTATGAAGACGATTAATAGTTTTATGAAACATGAATCCCTCGCTTATGGAGTCGATTGGAATTATTCCGATCAACGGAATTCATTAATTGCCAGTTGTTCTTTTTATGATCATATTATACATCTTTGGTAATATTCTTATTAATATAGTGAACATGTTTAATAAGAAATTTTGATTGACTTTTATTTATTATACCTATAGGGAACCTACTCTGGATTAATCAAAAAAGGTATAATATAATTATTGTATGAAAATGTAATTTCTTCTAAATCGATACCACTTTCTGATTAATAACCATACTTTTTCAGATATAATAAATTGTTCCTTGTTTTCATCTCGAGTACTTTCTATAATTTCGAAAGTGAAAATATATATATATATATATATATATATTAAATGAGAAATGAAAGGTAGAGGGCAAATCTCGTTGATGGTATAGAGTATAAAATATAAATATTTAATTTATGGAATTAACAAATAATTAGAATTGGTTTTTTTTTGTGAAAGTACTGAATATGTCACCTGTTATACCCAGGAAAGTTTCGTTGATCGCGACCTTGATATTTTGGTATACATATATCTTTTTTAAATCATTTCAATGTCGTACAAGTCATAAGATCACAATCATCACTTAACCAAAAATCCCATTCTCTAAAAATCTTTGAAGTCCATAGTTGACCGTGGGAAATATAAACAAAAGGGACGAATAATTTATTGTGTTTGTTTTGTTAATGCTTAAAAGTTGTACAATATAATATCTTCAAGTTCCTTTAAGGAAACTATATTGATTTGATCCGAAAAAAAAAAATTCGGGAATAAAAGGAGGGAATATCGAAATTTCATATGTCGCTCGCATATTGTAAATAATGGATGTTATAGTTTCCGAAAAAGGCATGTTAAAATTATCAAGCCACATTAAAGCATGCGCAATAGTTCGCCAAGAAATCTAGAAACTTGATTACCAAATTCATCTTTGTTAATACGTAATCATAGTTCCCGGACCTATTTGATTTTCGTTGTATTACGAGGTATCTAAACAAATACAAATCTTTGATTCCATAATAGGATACATTAATACTGCGACAAAAAATAATTTAAAAATGGAAAATGCCCGAGATGACACATGTTCAACTCATAAGTCGAATTTATGGAACCTATTTGGCGTTTTTAAGAATTAATGTTAACATCTTTGGATTAAAAAAACGGAACGTGAGAAATTTAAATGAAAAATTAATGAATTTAATGAATTTAATGTAATTGTTCTTTCTGTGACATGTTACAATAAAAAAAAATTTCGTGTGAAAGATATAAAATAGAATCATATTCGTGTGGGAAGAAATTTTTTGTGGATAATTTCGCCACCAATTAAGATTTTGAAATATCGAAATCATGACAAATAATTTGAGTAAGGTTTAAAAACATATGATATGTAAAAAAGACATTGATGGTTAAACAAAATTATGGAAAAAAATTTCTCTAAATTCTCGTTTATTATAATGATTTTAATGGTTAATGTCATTTTTTTTTTTTTTAATTTAAAATAAATAAAACGCGTTTAACCGATTTTAAGCTAATAGTGATAATTTTCTTTTTTAGTTATTAATAAAAAATCGGGAAATTTTTGTCGACAATTACTATTTCGGATATAATACTTTTTCGTACATAATACTTTTTCGTACATAATACTTTTTCGTACATAATACTTTTTCGTACATAATACTTTTTCGTATATAATACTTTTTCGTATATATATAATACTTTTTCGTAATACTTTTTCGTATATATTACTTTTTCGTTTATATATATATATATATAATTTTACGTTATTTTATCCGTTTTTCTTTGCCCGAAGGACTCTTTTTTTTTATTTTTTTCCTTGAAATAAGTTTTAATTTTTATATATTAATATATATTGCAAATTTCATTATGATAATGATTAAATTACCGCGATATATAAAATATCGATAATATTTCGGTTTTTTTATCATTCATTAATTTTCGTTTTTTTTTTTTTAAGAAAAAGTTCTTATGCTATACAAAGGATCGCATTTATGAATAAATTGGATTATGACTATATTTAAAATAAATATTATATGTTCTTTTCTTTACCTTTCTATTGGACAAGAACTTTTTTTCGGTTAAACTTTGCACCAAATATCATCAAAAGTTTTTATTCAATCTTAAAGGCAAGTATCTTTCAATAAAAATGATATGAACAAATGCTAAGGATAATTGACCGTTTCTCTCTGAATATGGTAAGAGAATCTACTCTAACATTTATTGTTCAACCAACTTTGAAGTTTAAAAAGAAAAAAGAATTATTAAATACTAAATAATTTAAAAAGAGAAATTTTATATGATTTACTCTTTCTCGTATAAATACAATACTCTCTCGCTTTTGTTTTCTTATCGCTATCGTGCTTTCAATTTTTTTTTTCCAGAAAAAGAAATGAGTGTTTAGTAATTGTTAACTAAGTATATTCAATTAAATAAATAAACAGTAAACATTAAAAACGAGTTGAGGGATGTGCAGTAAATTTTATTCCATTTTTATTACCATTTTTATTAAATTATTAAATTTTTAACTAGTAGATAACAGGTTTAAACAGCAAAATAATAATTCTGATAATCAAAGTCTCCCGTAAGGGGCATCATAAAATTGATCAGATATTTTCAGATATTTGAAACGTTTGAACTTAAGGATCACATCAATAATTTTATTATGTTTAATTAAAGTTTTTTACCAAAATTCTTTGAAAAATATTTGTAAGTTTTTTATTGAATCAATAATAAAAAAGAAGATACTAAAAGATATTGATCACAAGAATTAACAATTTATTTTAAAATTATTCCAAAGATAAATTTTTTTTTTTTTTTTTTTTTTNTAAAAAAAAAAAAAAAAAATGTGAAAAATGTGAAAATGTGACAAACAAGAAAAATAAAGTTATCAATATATATTATATAATCTTCCCCTGCATGCTTTGCAAGCTTTATCAGATATAGTATTTCATAACCGCTGCAAATTATTAAGTAGTACACTATTGGATAATCTGTATTATATAACAATAGTTTTTTTAAAAATAGTTTTAAATGTCCTAACCATAAAAGTTATTTAACGAATAAAATTCTTAATCGTATCGAAGATAATCTAAAGTGATTTTTAAAGTTTTAACTATACTATTTATAGATTTTTTCGAGAGATTTACATATTTATCATATTTATCGGAGGATCTATTTAATAAAATCCTGATAAACCTTCTCCAGCTATCATCTGACTTAAAATCAAGAATAAAATATTGTAGGATTTTTCCGAGAAACATCCTGTCTTGTAAAAAAGTATAAATGCGATTAATAAATATATTATTCACCATATACACTTCTGCGGTAGGTCTTTTCGAAATATTCGAATCATGGAGCCTGTTTGTACATTTCCACATTATAAAACTATAAATATCACAAAGATCTTCTCGAAGGAACGTCATCCCAATCATGAGGCTGTTCGTACATTTCCACATTATAAAACTATAAATAGATTCTTGTATATTTTTAGTACGTAAAACTACAAATACCACACTTACTACCATATATTGTGTAATATAATTTTTTTTTCCCATGTTAAAATTTTTCGAAGACATCAATTATTTTAATTATTTTCTTATTAAACAGGCCAAGAAATCAATTGGCCGGGAACGATCGTATAACATCATCTAACATATGTTAGTTTTAATCATAATATGAAAATATCTCTGTTAGGCCTTTTAATCCTCCCATACCGACTATCCTTTAGCCCTTGAAAGAATGAAGGTTAAAAAGTAGCATGAGTTAATTCAACGCTCAAGCCAAAGATATATACATACATATACATTCCTACAGAGAAGCTCAGTATTCTGCAGAAATATTTTGACATAATTTTTTACGTCCCGCCTATTTCGTTTTTAAAATTTGTTAATTTTATCATAATATCATCCATTCTAATTACCTGATTTTAAAAAAATCAAGACTGGTTTATAAATATTCGAAAAATTTCAAATATGGTTGATACAGTATCGACTTTATTAGGGAATATTCAAATGGACGCTTTATCTGCTGAATTCGTGAACGTTTTTGTTAATGCTTTTACTACCCATATATCAATTTTTTTTTCGTAGATAATATAATAATACATGCGTTTCAAAAGAATTTTTGTTCAATCATAAAAAATCAACAATCGAAAAAGTATGTCACAGAAAAAGTATGTCACAGGGCAAATTATAATTTTTTTTTTTATTAGTTTCAATTTTCAATAACGATAAATAAAATAAAATAAAAAAATATATATATATATATATATAATATACATAATATAATATACAAAAAAAGTTTTTTTAATAGATAACTATAAATAATATAATTTTTTTTTTAAAAAAAAAACCGAGCTGTGCTAAAAACCGAACTACCAAAAAATATATTTGTTTATTGATTGGCGTTATATTGAGCTTGTCCTTTGACACGATCTCCTTTTCCTTCAGCTTCCCATTGTGGATCACCCGCAGCGTAACCAACATTTTCTTTCACAGTTCCTTTTACGTTATCGTGAGCTCCTTTAGTAGCATCTTTAGTCTTAGCAGCATCAATTTCTCGATTTCCAGTTTGACGTTCTTGAGCACCGGAATGTTCAAGTGAAGTATTCTTCAAAGCTGATCCTATCGTTTCTTTTACTGCGCCTTTAGTGGCGTGAAGTTGACCAGTCGTTTTGGATGGTCCTTTATTTGTATCATTTGTTCCAATATCAGATTCTCTATTTCCTTCTGCTTTACGGGCTTGACCTTTAGCTTTTAAGTTTTCTGAACCAACAACATTTCCGGCTATTTTAAAAAATAAATATCAAAATTTTAAGAATTGCACGTTCAAAAAAGATTATAAGATTTGTTAAAATTTGTAATTACCAGTTTCTTGAGTAGCGCCTGTGGTATATTCAGTATTTGGAAGGTTAGACATTTTGAATGAATTTAATAATTTATTCTTTTGATTTTGTTACTTTTGTTATTGTAAAATGATTTGATTTTTGAAAAAAGTCCTGGGAATGTTGCATCTTTTATAAAGAAAATGAAGGTATAGGACGTTAAAGAATAATCATGTCATTCACGCGTCATTAAAATCATTAGAATCATTAAAAAATAATGATTAAATCACTAATTATATCACTTGTTCACATTTGACGACATGTGACGACATCATTGTCATAATTTCATCATGTTAATTTTCTTTAGTTAAAGATTTCGGAAAAAATTTATCCGATGTGGCGCAGGAAATTAGGTGTAAAATACGTGTAATCGTGGAGTGGTAAGTGTAAGTGCTTGAATTAGTTGAATATGATGAATTCATCATGATAAAAGTAAATGGGAATGGTAAGTCCTAGAGTTTTTATTTAATAATTCGGAATATCCGTGATATAGATCAAAAAAATCGGAGGCACAAATTTTAATTGGTGAAAAATAATCACGTGAGGAACAGATAAATACCCGTGACTGACTTAGTGATCCACTGATCCACCCAGTGACTTTCGCTACAATTAATTCAAATCCAGGTTCAAAACAAAATCAAAATTCAGGAAAGTTTGGTAATCTTTATCAAAAAAAAAACATGTTTGGGTATCCAGAAATGGATAAAATTTGACCAGAAAAACAAACTTTGAAAATATGTATCAATGTTTCACGTCTCGTGCACACTTGACTACTAGGGCATTCTTTTTGTAACATATTTTTTTTTTTTTTTTTTTTTTTTTTTTTTTTC